TTTTTCCTACTTTCTTCAGTTTAAGCTTGAGTTTTGCTATATGAAGCTGATGACCAGAGCCACAATCAGCTCCAGGTCTTGTTTTTGCTGACTGTATAGAGCTTCTCCATCTTTGGCTGTAGAGAACATAATCCATCTGATTTTGGTATTGCCCATCTGGTGATGTCCATGTGTGGAGTCGCCTCTTGTGTTGTTGAAAAAGCGTGTTTGTGATGACCAGCTTGTTCTCTTGACAAAACTCTATTAAAATTTGCCCTATTTCGTTTTGAACTCCAAGGCCAAACTTCCCTGTTGTTCCTTTTATCTCTTGACTCCCTACTTTAGCATTCCAGTCCCCTATAATAACAAGAACATCTTTCTTTGATGTAAGTTCTAGAAGGTGTTGTAAGTCTTCATAGAATTGGTCAATTTCAGCCTCTTCAGCATCAGTGGTTGGGGCATAAACTTGGATTACTGTGATGTTGAAAGGTCTGCCTTGGATTCATATTGAAATCATTCTATCATTTTTGAGATTGTGTCCCAGTACAGCTTTTCCCACTCTTTTGTTGACTATGAGGGCTACTCCATTTCTTTTATGGGATTCTTGCCCACAATAGTAGATATGATAATCGTCTGAATTGAATTTGCCCATTCCCATCCATTTCAGTTCACTGACACCCAGGAGGTCAGTGTTTATTCTTGCCATCTCCTGTTTGACCACATCCAGTTTACCAGGGTTCATCGATCTTACATTCCAGGTTCCTATGCAGTATTTTTCTGTGCAGCATCAGACTTTTCTTTCACTTCCAGGCATGTCCACAGCTGAGCGTCCTTTCGGCTTTGGCCCAACCACTTCATTAGCTCTGGAACTACTTGTAATTGTCCTCCACTCTTCCTCAGTAGCATGTTGGATGCCTTCTGCTCTGAGGGGCTTTTTCTTTTGTCTTAAACTTGATCTCACAGAAATGTATAATCACAGGCACTTAGTCATCATATACAACTTACTTCCAGTTTTATCTCTCTTTGTGGAGGTAGGGTATTCTGATAGCTACTTGGGATATAGCAGCTCTAAACAATGAGACTTTATTAGATCCAAACCAACCTCATAAGTTCTTTAGCTAACAAGTTCTTCTCCTTCCTGCACTTCTGTTCCCATTCATTCTACTTTGAATGTTCAGTTGTAACCATCTACAAGTTTTATTTTTCATTGTATGACTAGCTTGCTGAGTTCTATGGTTTTACGATTTCCTGGTTTTTATACATTTACTTTAGTACTTCTTCCTTCATCACCTCCTCAAGCCAAGAAATTCATAGCATCCTGCAATAAATGTACATTTGAAATTCTTCTGTCTTTTCCATAGTAGCCTATGTTAAACAACAAATCCGTGCCACCGGGCAGAATATGCATCCTCAATGTGCATCCTCAAAGCCAGGTTTGTTTTGTTGTTGTTGTTGTATTTTATATTCATTGGTTAAGGAAACTGCTCTTGGCCATCTCTGTTCTGACTTCCATTGGCTTACTATGTTTCTACTGCTCATTCAACCATATTTCAAGGTATAGAGGTATTTGTCAAGACACCAAAACCTGGACTATCTTCCCTGTTGTGCCAATTCCTTATTGTTTTCTAAAGCTCTTCAAGTTGTTAACCCTGAAATATATTTTTGTCTGCCCTCTGATTTTGTTCTTTCCCCATCTCACTTCTTTTGGACTGTACTAGCTTATCTTCCTTACTTCCCTCTTTTCTCCTGCATCTTTGGGGAAAGTACTCCCTTCCTCTTCTGTCAAGGTACTGTTGATTTCTCTGTTCAACACTCCCCAAATTCGTTGCTTCTGCAAATTTTTCGCTGCACTAGCACAGCCCCCCCTATTTTCAGCCTCTTCTGCTGCCAGCTAACCCCATCATCTACAAAGACACTGTGTAAAAACAGGACTTGGTTCCAGAGTGAAAGCTCATGATCTTGAAGGGGAGTCCGCCTGTTCATGGCAGAGGCACTGGGGCATGTAAAGGGCTCAGCTCCCCTGTCCACATAGAAGTTTCTCAAATAAGGAAGTGGGAATAAGAAACACAATCAACTTCAGGCTTGCATTGTTTTCAGTCAGTTCCATTTAACAATAGAACAGTGGTTTCTCCCATAAATAGCTGGGATCTACAGCTAACCAATATGGTACTTTAGAGATGACAATACAGGACACAGAAAAGTTTTGTGATGATACACAACATATTTTTTTACTCTAAGGGAAACTGAAGGTGGAATAGATTTATGTGGAAACAGCAACAGCACAGCTTTATTAATATGACTGAGAAAGAAAAGTAATAATTCTGCATTATGCAATCCTTTAATGGAATCATGAAAAAAATTACTAATAAGATGAGCTTCTAGGTTTTCCAGAAATTTTCTTCAAGCCTGGATGGTACAAGATTTATTACACTTGGCCAGCCTCCTCCCACACCCCCAATGTTTTTCTTTTTTCGTTTTGCCATCTCTTAACTTTGTTGTCATTCATATCTGAAGAAGAGTTGTGGAGAACCCTAAAGTTTGCTTTGTTTGTAACATTTTTGTGATACAATAATAGGATTAAGCAGTCCAAAATTCTAAGAAATAACTGGAATCCTATTGCTAAGAGCAATAGGTCATAACTAGAGTAGGCCTATTTAATCAGTGGCGATGTGGCAAGTCAACTCCTTTGTAAATTGCACTGATTCAAACGCGCTTACACAAGTTGCAACTTATTACACTAAAGTAAATCACAAGTAGAGTAGGCCTATTTGAATCAATGGACCCTATGGAGGACTGGACTCACCAAATCCCCACTGATTCAATGAGCCTAGTCTAATGCAAGTTATTACACTAAACAAGAAGATTCCAGCCAATGAGTAATCTCCATACGAAAGGCAAGCAAGTTATATAGCAAACCAGTAATACAGCAATTTTCATCAAGACTATAGTGGGGCTAAAAATTTTAAATTCTCCTTCCTCTAGTATTTACAGTGTCTATGCATAAACCAGGAAAGGTTGGAATAACGCAGTATAATCTCCTCTCGGAATAATCTGCTCTAAGAATGCTGCTCTGTTGTTCCATAAATTCAGCTGTCTGTAACATGCATACCACACTATGTAAGAAAAATGCTGGAGTCCACTCCCAAAGTTCTAATTCCTTGTATATTTGAATTTGGTTTTCATCTTGGTGACAAAGGTAGGCATTTAAATGTCCAACAAATATCCATTCTCCTTATGACAGTGAAGAACCATGAGGAAACCCAAAGTTTATTACAAGTTCAGTGAGGCCATGAACTGTTGAGATTCAGGGCGTAAAATGAGACAAAAATGTAGGATCACTGTCATGGGGTTCCCTGAAGGAGGGCGTGTTCGTAGGGCCAGCTGGACAGGCCACGAATGAGGACACACATCTCACTGCAACATTTGGCTTCAGGCCCCACTTGTATTTGTTATTTCAGTTGTGATATCTTGCACATTGCATCTGCTTCTTGTTTTCTTACTTCAGTTTTAAAACACGGTGTTTCCTTCCCCCAAACGTCATGGTGATTTTGCCATCAGCTGAGCCAGTTTCCTCACCAAACACCATTTTTCTTGGACATACTAGAGGGAGGGGCAAAAGGAAAACAGGTTAGTTTACATCAGAGTGCGTCATCTGTGGCTCAAAAGCCCAAATGCTGCTCCCTATGTAGATCCTGAGGGCAGCAGGTTCCCCCACCCAGCCCCCTTTTCACCGCAACCCACCTCCGAGCATTTCAGATCAAGCCGCCTAGAGTGGTCCTCACCGACCAGATAGGCGGGGTATAAAACAAACAAACAAACAAACAAAATAATAATAATAATAATAATGATGATGATGATGATGATGATGATGATGATGATGATGATGATGATGATGATGATGATGATGATGTGGTCCCATTGCTAATAGTAGCAGTGGGAAAGCAGCCAACTCGGAGAGACTGGTTGGGGTAGGAAAGGCAAAACAACAACACAACCCCTCTATTCTGCTGTGTTCTTTCCTGTGGCCAGTCATGGTGGAGAAACAGGAACCTTGATGGCAATTACTGGGAGATGAGGGAAGCTTTTAATACACACAGAATACCTGTATCTCTGTAGCAGAGAGGGGAGATTTAAACCTCCCCATCCCTTTGTGTTAAAATTGTGGGACAGTGTGTGAGTGAGTGCACTCCTGCAGCCGATGAACTATGGAAGAGATCACCATCCAGCCACAGGTGTCCAGACATGCCATGATATACTGTACCATCCATCTTCTGGCATACTACCGCAAAGGCACAAGACCACTCAACTCACCTGCACCCGTTGCCTCTTGAGCCTTTCGATGGCCTGTCTATTTGCCTGCGTCTGAGAAACAAATACTATAAGAACGAGGCTGTAGGGAGGAAAAAGAGACAGTCAGTCTTGGCTTCTAGTGACATACCTTAGCGACAGTGAAATGGGGTGATGTTCTTGGAATGGTGGTACAAAACTAACATACAAACTGTGAAGGAAGAGTATGTGGACCCTTTACGCTGGTGAACAGATGTGAGAAGTGCCTTTCTGTCAGTTCTCCTGGGTTTCCCAATAGTAACTGATAACATGGACTGTGGTTTCCTTCTGCTCTGTGTCTGTGGTGTTGGGTTTGCGGTACAGTGTTGTAGTGGCTTCAGTCCTTCCCCGGAGGGACAGACCAAATGGTGGTCGGGGCAACGTTTGAGCTGACATTCAGAATGCCCAGCCCCCCACCTCAATATCTACATGAAACTGTTGGGAGGAGCCAGTTGGAAATTATCTGAGGTGAGATACCACCAATATGCAAGCGACACAGATATCTACCTTGCCCCACCCCCACTACTTCTAAGGAGGAAGCTGAAACCTGGGACAAGTTTTAGGGGATAAGACTGAAATAGTTGGAGGATAACAAGCTGAAATGTAATCCAGTAAGACAGAAGAACATGAGATGTCTACTAATCTGGAGGAAGATTTACACGTGACCCCCCTCCCAAAAAAAGGGCCACAATGTCCCCAAAGGGCCAGAGATGTTATCTGGGCTTGCTTCTGCCCTCAGCACTGACTATGGAGTCACTGAGGGCAGGATGGGCTGCCTGCCACCATGGGCTTTTTACCTGTTTAGGCTGATTTGTCAGCTGCAAGCCTGTCTAGAGAAAGGTGACCTACCTGCAGTGATAAATGTCAGAATACATCTAGCAATGTTGCATTTAAAGTAACCTCAGGTGGAAACAGATGGGTGGGGCTGGGTATCCTGACTTTCTGTAAGTGACCCCTTGCAGCTTGTTGGCAGTAGAGCACAACCTCTCTCAATAACTTCACCCTTCCTGAACAGAACAGTTCATTCTTTGTTCCCCCTTTACCGCCAAGGATGGCTGGCGGTGAGGGTGGCTTTCACCTTGGCCTTGTACACAGCTATACACACAGAAGCCAACACTAGCCTTTTCTGTACTACTTAGTTCTGTGGTGTGTGTGTGTGTGTGTTATGTTTCACCTTGAATACAGTTTTGAAACAATAAACTGCAAGTTGTCATCACCGCCTCTTAGAACTGCAGAGCTGGAAGGAACCCTCTGGATCAGGGAGTCCAGCCCGTCGAGGAGGGGCCGTGGGGAACTGGACTCCCAACCTTTGGCTAGGCAGCCAGTTGTTTAATTTACCTTACCTTGATCACCCTAGGTGATTACTCCCACTGAATAGCCACAAGCTAACCTTACTCTCTTGCTGCACTCTGCCAACATAATTACCAGAAACTCCTACAATATACCTCATGCTTTCTTCCAAGTTAAGATTACTATAACACATTCTATAAGGCAGTGGTCCCCAAACTTGGGCCTCCAGAGATTCTTGGACTACAACTCCCAGAAGCCTCCACCATCACCTCTGCTGGCCAGGATTTCTGGGAGTTGTAGTCCAAGAGCCTCTGGAGGCCCAAGGTTGGGAACCACTGCCTTAGAGGGAAACTTGCTCACTTACCTTGAAATCCTTATTAGCATCACTGCAAATTGGTTCTGATGTGACAGCACACAACAACAGAAAATGTGGCAGCTAGTTAATTTACAGGAGCCAAACATTCAAAGAATATTAGATGTATGCTGTGTCAACTACATGGATTTGTTGCAGTTTCTCAACCCCATTCAAACTGTTTGTTTGGGGTTTCTCAAAGTCATATGAGTGGTTTGGAACTACACTATCTGAAGAATCACCTGTATATACTTACAAGCCTACCTGAGAATTACAATAAAGGTGAAAGACTGTACTGTTATGCCTGCTGACAAGAGCCGTTGAGTTGATAGGCATTAGGAAAGGAGGGATTTCTGGTTCCAGAGGCCATCAGTGCTCAAAGTGGGTGAGATGGGTTAGTCTGAAAGGATCATCAAGGGAGTGGGTGTTATGTGTATACTAGCTAGCGATTAGAGTGTCATTATTCTCCCCAACTCACCAGCCTGGAAACAAAAAAAAAAGCGTTTTGCCTTGAAACTGAAGCAGATAAGATACTGAGTTATTTCAGTAGCCTGATATGTATAGCTAACAAATTGGCTTAGTAGAGGTACAAGCGCTTGTGAAACATCATCAGACACGGTCTGCAACACATGATGGAACAACAGCCCTCCTACAGTTATCATTTTAAGGTGGCATCTACGCAACTCGTGATCACTCCTCCCACTCTCTGTTTCCCATCTATGACCTTTAAAAGAACCCACCTGAGTACCATCAGAAGCAAGAAACAAAAGACACTGGAAGTGGCATAGTTGAAGATGAGCTGTGCCGTGGTGGGTAAATGGGATACAGCCTCAGGCACTGTCTGCCACGGAGCGGAATAGTTAGCAAAGAGCCCACAAGCTTGGGATGGAGGGACCCTGGAAGGCGAAGGGAGGAGTATCAATGACAGAGTTTTCACTAAACGTTGTCTGTGCTTCAGCTGCTCAACTCCAAGTTTCATCTCAACTCACCTGGTGATAACATAGCTTAGAGGAGAACAGGCCAGGAAGAGACCTAGTAGGAGCATGATCTGGAAGAGGAATTTAGATCGGGAGGCTCGAAACAGCTGAGTTGAAGGTTGGCAGTTCTGGAACAGGGTATACTGTGGGTGTGAAAAGGAGATTTAGAGTGTGTACTCACTGCGTCCCCACACAAGGTTTAGGGCACAGATTTTACCTCCCCCAAGACTGTGAGGCTTTACATACGGAGTGCCCTGGGTTTTGTCAAAGGGAAGAGGGAGGAATGGTTATATTGGAGGAATGTTTGTTTGCAAACCATAAGGTACAAAAACAAAAAAAGTTGCAGCACAAGGGAAACATGAAGGAGAAAAGCCAATATTCCCAGCTTCCACTCAGCCCCTTTTTGTTTCACAGTGACTAGCCCTTTTTACGTTAAAAAACTATAAGTAACTAAAGTAGAATAGAAAAAAGCATATTTATTTACAGTTGATCTTCAGTTATGATCAGAGGTGCAAAATAAAGGGGAGGAAAGGGAGAGAAAACAGCCTCAACCATGTGGAAGGCTGAATCCACCATGCTGACTGCATGGTCTAGAGGCAAGGAGCAGAAATTTAATGTCTGCTCTAGTCAATGGTCGGAGAGGGAAAGGGAGAGCAAATTAAACAACAGAAGCAAGCAAACAAGAAGGGGTGGGTGGGGAGGGGACTTGCCTTAAGCCCAGGACAAAGGACTTTGCTAATTGGTTAGTGAGAAGGCATAATTATGTTAGGTGGTGAATCCCCCTTCCTCCCACTAAAACCCAGGGTTAGTGCATGCAAGATTGTTACCTGCCAACAGGTTACACCCAGAGGCAGGTAGCAGATGGTAGGGAGCAGCCATGATAAGTTGCAGGAGAGAGTTGTGTGGCATAGAGCTTTCAACATTTCATACACCAGCCAATGAGAAACTCTTTTCCGGGAAGTTTAAAAGTAAATGTCAGAACCATAAAGAATGAAAATAAAACTGAAACCTAGAAATTAAATCAGTTAGTACTGGAATAAAAACAATGATATACACGGTAAGTCCCAGAATTCTCCAAAGCCCCTAGTTCAGGATCATGCCACCTGACCTAGAATGGGGCAAACCAAGGAGGACAACTTACACCACTGGCACCCTAAATTTAGGCTGATCCATGACTGAAGGGAAAAACTACCTGCCTTAACCTTGGATCAGCCAACAATCAATCAATCAAACAAACAAACAAACAATTCCAGTATTTTGTATTTAAACTCTTCCAGTATTTTGTATTTAAACTCTTCATTCTTTCCCTTTCCTTCTTTTCCTTTCTTTCTCTTTCTCTGTTTCTCTGTTTCTTTCTCTCTCTCTCTCTCTCTAACTCACACACACACAGAACTTTTACCTTTTTAATATAGAATGTAAGGAAGATGGAGACACAACCAAGCAAAGGCAGGAGTGGGCAGAAGTAGATGCCGATCCATATGACTGTTTGAGTTGCCACAATATCCAACACGTTGTGGGGCACCAGGAACTCCTCTTTGCCAAGCCATTGAGCCAGTGCACTGGAGGAATGCTTGGCCAGCAACCTAGGGAACAAAGAGCCTGCATTCAGAGGCAAAGATGACTCCTCCTTGCAGCAACGGCAGCAGGAAGTCATGCCACCACTTGGGCACGTCTCCTTCTAAATAGCACACAGAAAGGCATTACATTCAGTCCGTTCCCCAGAGACAGCAACATGAGCTTGGCAATCAGCAACGATACTGGTAAAGGGCACCAAAAGACATCTCTAAGAGGGATCTGAACAAAGGCACAGACAGTGAAGTTATCGGGGGCCATTAACCATGATGGCTAAATGCTACATTCAGAAGCAGAGGCCATAGGTCTCTGAAGAAAAGTCCCCGGATGGGGGAATAACATGGAAGAAGGCTGTTAGGTCCTGCTTGTCAGCTTCCCATGGGCCTCTGGTCACCCATCAGAGGAACAGACTGTCATGTGAAACAGTCCTTCAGCCTGATACAGAAGAACTCTTCTCGTGTTCTTATACTAACTTCCCTCCCATAACAGAGCCTAGCAACAGGGAGGATAGGAGAGATACAGCTCTGTTACCTCCAAATGAAACAGTGGCTGATCCATGACTGAAGGGAAAAACTACCTGCCTTAACCTTGGATCAGCCAACAATCAATCAATCAAACAAACAAACAAACAAACAAAAGAGTATCTGGGTAGATTGGTGTTGGTTAGGACCTCTTCCCTTACCTTCGGGGCAGGCTGATGAGGAAGGCAGAGGCCAAAGTGGTCAGGAAGCTGAAGATGGTCATTTTGTACATTTCCTGTCCAATGTGGGTTTCCCAGCACTGCATGTTCAGGGAGAGCAAAGAAAACAGCTCATGAGCGGGAGGAAACAGAAAAGAATTCCTGTCCTAGCCAGGCTGCAGAATGACAACCGCATGGTTGTGGCCCAATACAATGCAAGAAGTTATTACAAGTCAGAATTTGCAGTAGGAATTTTATTGGTAATGAGACAATACAAGCACCACACTTTTATTTATTTATTCCCTTCTTTTTTTAAAAAAATATGGAGACTGTCAGCACTGAAATGTTGGCAGTATGCAACCTGTTAGGGACTAAACTGAACATCAGACAGAAGTCAGTTGCTGACAAGCAACCCGTTGTTCTTCACTGCTTGAACTGTGCAAAAGAGGAAGCACGTGAGTTCACTGCCTGGGGTGCAGCCGCAATCAACCAGACACACGAGAAAAGGAGACACTGACATAAAGACAAAGGAAATCAACCCAGGAACAGGAATACTCAAAAGATGTCAGAGCCGTCAAAGAGCCATTGATAGAGATCTATAGCCAAGTCAATTAGCCAGATGCTGAAAGACAGATTACAGCTTGTCCCAGCATCAGGGCAACTGGCCGTCTGAAGTCTTGCTTTTGAATATTATCATATGTCATCTGAAAAGGAAAAGTCCAGTTTGAATACCTGATAGACTTTGTTGTAACCACACGGCTGGCACTGGGGAGTACTGCTGGCCCCCAAGCAGAGGATCTGGCGGCCCAGGAAGAACAGGAACATAGCCAGGCTGGACAGCTTCAGGATGACACACCTGCCAGAGGACACAAGAGAGGACAGGTTCTGGGCCTGTGCTCCACTGTTCTGTCCAACGACTGCCACCATATACCCTGGCCAAACTAGATTTTTTTTTCTTTTCTGGACAATAGTCCCCAGCATTCTCTCAAGCTGGCCATGCTGGCTGCAGAGATGCTCAGGCTTCTAGTCCCAAAAGGGGAATGTTTCCAAGCTCCACACCTCAATGTGCGAGATACTCCTGCCTGACCATAAATGGATCCAGACAACCATGTACAATCCCTAAATGTATCTAATAACTAAGTTTCCCTCACTGTTTGTTAAGATGACACAAACAAGCAAGCATGTCAAGTACATGCTCACTACGATAGATCATCAGCTGGTTAATAAACAAGTGTTTGCATCAGTTCCTGGTCTATCATGGAACAAAGACATGGCAGAGACCCCTTTCTCATGTGTTCTTGCCTGTGCTTAGGCTGTGTACAGAGATAAGGTTTATATACAAAAAATTGGAGGGTTCTGCTCCCTTCCCTTTTATTGTAATTGTAAAATATTATCTGGCCATTTAAATTATGCCATAATAATATGACAGGAATAATGAAATAAATATTTATGCATTTCTATTTTTTTGGTCTAATGTAGTATTATCTGGGTTTCTCCGTGTGGTATAGTGGACCAGGACACTGGAGAACAGGGTTCAAATCCCCACTTAGCCATGGAAACTCACTGTGTGTGTGTGGAACTGGTAAAAACACTCCTTAAAAATCTCACTTACCTTGAAAGCCCTATTAGGGTCACTATAAGTTGGTTTTGACATGACAGCACAAAACACACACAGTATTGTCTACCTAGAAAACCCTGGAAAGGGTCACCATTAGTTAGAATTGTTCTGATGGCACACAATTATTATTATTATTGTATTAGTATTAGTATTAGTATTATTATTATTATTATTATTATTATTATTATTATTATTATTATTATTATTATTATTATTATTATTATTACATAGCAAAGGAGGGGGCAAAGATACTCCTTCAAGCCTTTTCTATTTTTCATCAAAAAAAAGTAAGTTACCACACCTAGAAGTCTCCAGGAAGTCACTTTTAAAAGGGCCACAGTCCCCACCTGAACTGTTTAACACCCTCGAAATAGCATTCTTTGGAAACTGGAGTGGGTCTTCAACCACGGTAGCTTCATTTTCTGGCTTTTGTTTTTTGTTTTTGTTTTTTCAATCTGTGCAGCTCCTGGAAGGTTCCCAGGGAAGAAAACTGGCCCCTAGTTTTGCCAGAGTTACCCACCTGACAGAGCCTTTTATAACTGCTGTAAATTTTTCCAAAGTTCTACAGTACATTTTTGAACCAGTCGTCGCAGTGAATATATTAAATTATAATGTATTGTAGGCAGACAGATTTTGTTTTGTTCATCATCCATGTGCCGGGATATCACTGTTGTCATCTTCCTTGTTTGTGAATAAAATGTTGTTGTTGTTGTTGTTGTTGTTGTTGTTGTTGTTGTTGTTGCATACACTGGAAAAATGTTACTGCCATGATTACAGAAAGGCATGTCCTTTTAAAATAAGGAGTTTACTGGAATTAGAATATTTTGAGAGGGCTGAGTGCTTCCTCTGCCAAAGTTATGTGTGACAGCAAACGTATCAATCCTTTCCTGATCATTTAGTCTCCTTAAATCTTTCACTGCCATATTGCTGACAAGGAGTTCTGGACTTGGTGTGCCCCCATCCACCCACCCACTGGCCAAATTTACAGAGAGAGACCCCTCAGAACTAAAATAGCATAATCACATTCTGCTACTCGGAATCATTCAAGGATCTACAAGGAAAACTCTACTTTCTCCCCAGTAACATATCTGGTCCCACTCAGACAGAAACACCCTAACATAAAATTATACTATGTAGCAAATCAGCTTAGACATATCCCAGATATAATTAAGGATAATAAAAATTTAATTTGGATGGATATTGAGACGGAAGGAATACAAGAAACTGTGGAAAGTATCTTGTTTAAAAAAAAATTGCAGAAGGGATAAAAAAGATCAAAAATCCGTTTTTAATAAACATGGAATTTAGAGAGGTATTGAGTCCACCGATATCTCCTTTATCTCAGGTAGTTGATTTAAGGAATTTTCCAGAAAATTTTAAAAATTTAAAGAATGTATTAAAAAGCAAACAGATAAGCAGATTAAAAGACTGGACAGAGAAGATAAAAGAAAAAGGGGATATAAAAAAGATATTAGGGGGAGAAGGGTATTCATGGTTAAATCTAATTCAATTAGAAAAGTGGACAAGAGAATGGTATACTAAAGAAGGGAAAGGTAGAAAAATGACAAAATTTGAAGAAATTATAGAAAAAAGATTGAAATCAGAGGAAAAAACAGAAAGAAAAGGAACTGTAAGTCAAATATATAAATTATTAAATCAAGTAGAACAGGGTACTGTAGGGTTAAAAATGCAATGGCAAAATGATTTGGATGAAGAAGTAATAGGAGAAGAATGGGATAAAATATGGGATCAGAGAATTATGAAGAACATGTCAGTAAGGATAAAAGAAAACTGCTATAAAGTAATATGGAGGTGGTATTTAACGCCGGTCAAAATGAATATGATGGATAAAACTGTGTCATCATTATGTTGGAGTTGTAAAAAAGAGAAGGGGACGTATTTACATATGTGGTGGCTATGTGAAAAAAGAAAGAAAGAATGGAAAGTAATATTTAGGGAAATAACTGAAATTATGGGATTGAATATTTCAATGTCCCCAATAACAGCCTTATTGAATTTGAGTAAAGATCAATTGGTGAATGAAAATAAGGATTTAATAATAATAATGATTACGGCTGCAAGGATAATTATGGCAAGGAATTGGAGAAATGAAAATCAATTTAACCTTGAGGAATGGTATAGAGAATTGTGAGACATGGCTATTAATGATAAACTGACATGTGATATGAAAATAAGCAGGGGCCAAATGAAAAATAATGACTTTTAAAAAATATGGAACATATTTTTAGAACATGTCTTTCGGAGAGGGAGGGGGTATACACCGAGTGAAGAAACATTGAAATTTTGGAATGAAAATGGATGGAAAGAAGTGTAATGCTAGTCCTGAGGGTGATGGGTGCACTGTTATGTTTTGTAATTTATAGTCTCGTAATTTATAGGGTTTTTTTTGTAGTAATAGGTATTTTGTATTTTTCGTATTTTTTTGTATTTTTTGTACTTTTAAATTAAAATAAAATTTAAAAAAAAAAGACAGAAACACCCTACCTGACCAGGGTGAGGTTGACTTCAGTGTTGGGAGAGTAGCCCTCCAGCTGGGCCAAGGCATGAAAAACAAATGGCAGGAGAATATTGACTGCGGAGATGGTCACAGGTGGCAAGTACTGACTCAACACGCCAAGACGGGCTGCATCCTGTTCGAAGTGCAAAAGTAGGTTAGGGTGAGACACTGTTTGTGAACACAGAACACGCAAGAAGGGGCATACAGTTACATTCCCAAAGACTCAGTATATGTTCAGTAGCGATCCTATTGCAGAGCCAGCCTAGAGATATCTTGTGCAAGGACTGGCAAACTTTGAAAGATTATCTTCTTGCAAAAAGGAATTAATGCTGGTACATTTGCCTTCAACTCAAGGCAAGTTGGTGCCTCTTAGGAATGGCCATTGGATTTAGCCCAGAGGAACTTATGGCAAAGACTACACAAATGTATTATGGGATGCTTGGGGGCCACATAAGTAGCCGGAGGTGTTTTTTTTTCAACAAAGCGGTCATATCACATCTGGTTTAATCCTTAATATAGCAAGTTATTTGTAACTGTGAATGATTAGGCCTTAAATCTGTCTTCCAACACACATGAAAGAAGGACATTCAACACCAGGCTTTGAGGTTGGCAGACAGCATGAAATGTCTGGATTCCAGGAACTTTTCTTTCTTACTTACTGTCATTTTTGAGTGGTCCCTTCTTCCTGCTGCTGGTCAGGGCCAAACAATACATTACAGGCAACCTGACATTAGAAGAGGGAATTCCTGAAGTACTGGTTATGTGCCGTTGTGTCACAGCAGCAGCAACAACTTTTCACACCGCTTATAATTTGCCGATCAGCTTGCTTTAGTTTGTGCCTAGTCTTCAGAATATAAGCACATTCTGTCTGTGAGACTGATTTCTCAGACATGAAAGTCTGCCTGAATCGCTTCTCTGGAACACTAACCTGACATCAACTGTAATGATAGGTTACCTGTAACAGATCTCCAGATTTGGGTCTCCAGATCTAAACCCAAAACCCTGGCCCAGCTCCATCAGTTGTCCTCAGGGACTTAAAACCAGGGAGTAGACACCTTACCTTCAGATTTTGAGCCTGTGGGTATGTATTCTGAGCTGACGGAATTATAGCAGTCCTAATAGGGCTTTCAAGGTACAGCTGATGGGGACAAGAGGGCCTTCTCTGTGGCAGCTCCCAGGTCATGGAATACTCTCCCTCAGGAGATCAGGCTGTCCCGCGCCCCTTTATTCTTCTGCGGACAGCTGAAGAACCATCTTTTCAGGCAGGCTTTTAACAATCATGATAAAGTCCCTGAATGCCTTTTTAAAGTTAAGATAGTTTTTAATGTTTACTCACTGTCACACCCCCCCAGCTCCTCTATATGTTCTCCCTAACAAACAGATTTGCCTTCGGGCATGACAATTTCTTTGTCTCTATTTCCACTGCCACCAGAGGAAATCCGTCCTCAGTTACCAGTTAGGACCACAGAATCAGTCGTGTCAAATATAACATATTTAAGACTCAAGGAAATCATAGATGGTATTGTATTTGATATTCATTAAACTTCATTTAACTTCTAAATACGCTGGTTACTTTGTATTTAGTTTCAATCACTTTAAAACAATTTATTTATTTCTTATAGTTTTCATTGTTCTCTTATACGTTTCTATCCAAGGGTTTCTTCCCAAAACAATTCTTCCAACTACCTCTTTCCCTAACTTGTTTTTTTCCAAGGGTTTCTTTCCACAACAATTCTTCCAACTACCTAACTCTTTCCCTAACTAACTGTCCTATATCATCACTAACTGAAATCCCTAACTCCTGGCTAACCAAAACTCTGATTATAACTGTCCTCCATTCTCTTCTTATATTCCTTGGTTCCGCCCTCCTGCACAACCATTGGCTACTGAATCAGTTTTCCATTGTGATGGATAGGTGTGGTTTCTGATCTGTCCGTCACACTCACTTTTAATTATTCGATCATATTTTAATTAGCATAGGTTAAATGATAATTATATATATAGTATCCCCTTATCAGGGGGAAAACATAAAACAAACAAGTGGTTTTACCAGTTTCACTCCCCTGGTGGGTTTCCATGAGCAAATTAGGATTTGAACCTTGTTCCAAGTTCATCACCCTGTTCGCTACACCACTGGTTCTTAACCTTTGTTATATTCGATCATATTTTAATTAGCATAGGTTAAATGATAATTATATATATAGTATCCCCTTATCAGGGGGAAAACATAAAACAAACAAGTGGTTTTACCAGTTTCACTCCCCTGGTGGGTTTCCATGAGCAAATTAGGATTTGAACCTTGTTCCAAGTTCATCACCCTGTTCGCTACACCACTGGTTCTTAACCTTTGTTACTTTACTCTATAGGTTATATGCTAATTATATAGTATCCCCTTATCAGGGGGTAAACATAAAACAAACAAACAAGTGGTTTTACCAGTTTCACTCCCCTGGTGGGTTTCCATGAGCAAGTGAGGATTTGAACCATGTTCCAAGTTCATCACCCTGTTCACTACACCACACTGGGAATTAGCTACCCCAAATCTCAGCCTGGCACTAACTAAGGCAAGGAGTGAAAGTTGTCCCACCTGACTGTCGCCCTGGGAAGACTCAGTGGCCAAGTGGATGAAATAGAAAGCAGTGGCCATCAATAGCAAAACAACTGCATTGATCAGCAGGCGCAGCAGGTAGAGCTGAGCTAGCTGCTTCCGCGTCCTCTGCTGGTTCTGCAAATGTCGAATCTGCTCTGCCAAGTCCATCTGCCGAAATACGTAAATAGAATCAACCACTGTGCTGATGAGTAGCTTCTTCTCAAAGTTTAAACAGCAATGGGAAGAGGCTATCTGGCTACTCAAGTACGCCTGCACATGTTTCCACAAAGCCATAGTCTTGAGGGCTGAAGATACACAGTAAGCAGAGGGTAGAAAGAGTGGCTGAAACAACAAGCAACATCATCCTTTGTAGCTCTAGGGAGAATCCCTTTTTTAAAAAAAAAATATTTTATTTTAAAGCTGGGGATAAGGTAAGGAATACAGAAGGTAACGGGGGATGTGGGGAAAAAATAAGGGGGGGGGAGCAGAATACAAAATGTACCGTCAGCAAATCCTGCTTGTTCGCGTTGCAATATCAAGTCCACTTTTCGCCTTTCTACCTTTGAAAGTAGATTCCTACTTACAATTACATCTTAGTTTAATTCTATGTTACTCAAGTTCTATCTACTGACTCAAGCCATTTATATAATAAATCCCATCATTCAGTTGCCTTTTGTATTGGATAGTCTTTCAACACTTCCGATAGTACAGTATATCCATTTCTGCCACTTCCCGTATCTTCTCAAGGAGCTCCTCTTGTTTCAGTATCTCCAATTTCTTCTGGTTCTTAGCATAAAGAATTCTGGCTGCAGTGACTATGTATATGACTAGATAATTCTTTGTCTTATCTATATTATCTGGTATAATGTTCAGTAAAAACAATTCTGGGGTTAGTGCTACATTACAAAGCGATATTTTTTGTAACAAAACATGTACTGCTATGTTACAAAAAATATTGCTTTGTGTACTGCTATGGTGGGATGTGGTGGCGCTGTGGGTTAAACTACAGAAAGCCTCTGGGCTGCAAGGCCGGAAGATCAGGGTTCGAATCCATGTGACTGAGTGAGCTCCCATCGCTAATCCCAGCTCCTGCCAACGTAGTAGTTCAAAAGCATGTAAAAATGCGAGTAGATAAATAGGTACCACTATGGTGGGAAGGTAATGGCGTTCTATGTCTAGTCACGCTGGTCATGTGACCACGGAAACTGTCTACAGACAAATGCTGACTCCGTGGCCTGGAAACAGGGATGAGCACTGCCCCTTAGAACTGGACATGACTGGGCAAATTGTCTAGAGGAACCTTAACCGGTACTGTTTCGCTTCTCTACAAGTACGCCACATATAATAAAAGCTTCCCTCTTGTGCTTCACACTTCCAAACACACATTTGAGACCTCTGTATAAATCTTTGACAATTTATTTGGAGTCATATACTACCTATAAAACATCTTATATACATTCTCCTTAAAATTTCCCAATTTTATAAACTTTATATTATTTTTCCATAGTCGCAACCATTGATCAATATCAATGTTATGTCCTATATTTTGTGCCCACCTAAACATACATTCTTTTATAATCTCATGGGAGAGTCCCTTGAGGTGGAAACAAAGATTCCAAGATTTGAATTAAATTCTCCTTTAATATCCCTACAAACTAACCATGGAGAGCCTTAGTTTTAGCTCAACAACATCTAGAGGGCCAGAGTTTTTGCCCAGCCCCTGCCATAGATCTCTTTCTAGCCCATTTCACCAAAATAATTCATTGCTGCTGCCCCTTCTTACAAATAAGCAAACAAGAAAAGACAGAAACTCCAGGTAAGGAACGGAATCGGCTGGCGTGGCAGACTTGGAGACTCAGCCATTCTCTGAACTTTGTTTCAAGCCATTGTTTATGACAGAGGTGGCTCCCGGGGTCATCTGTGAAGCTGAATAGTGAACAAGCAAAAGGAAGTACTCCTTCACAGAGCACATAACTGAATGGTGCAATTTGCTGCCACAAGATATTGTGTTAGCCAATATCTTACGTGGCCTTGGGACAAGACCAGTTACTGTAGGACAAGGCCATCAAAAACACCACCTTCAGAATACCAGAATCCCAACAACCATGGGAGAGAGCCATAATTTTCCTGTCCTCTTTGGAGGTGAGTTACTAGAGGGATTTTAAAATAGAAGACAGGATCCTGGACTAAATGAATCTTGGACGATCCAGTAAAAGTCAGTGGCCCAAAAAGTCCAAGCATAATCACATTCTTCTTTACTAGGAGATATCTGATGCTCAACTCGAGATCAAATCTAAAGGAGTCCAACAGCTAAGGAATGATTTCAAAAAGGGCAGCTTATGGGTCAGAAGTCTAGCTTAGCTTCTGAAGAAACAGGACTTCATGCACATTCCCTCTCAAAACGTGATTGTCAGGGCACCATACCCATTGAAGCAAGGGCTTCCTACACATTTGCTAGAAATGTGGGTGTAGTTAGGAGAGTTAAGGTGTTGTACAAATGAAGCAAATAAGATGAAATAAAATAAACAAACAATTAATGGATGGAATTTTGAGGTGGGGACCAAATTATCACTACATCCCACGAGCAAACATTACGTACCTTGAGGCCATTGTAAATACTTCTCTGTTTGAGGGCAGCTGCCTCAGGGCTTTGGATGCAGAAATCCCATTCAGTAAAAATCCTGGCACTGACATATGGCTTGAATCCCCACTGCAGTATCTGCCAGTTCATGAAGCTGGCCACAATCCTAGATAACCGGGCAGCAAAGGAGACAGTAACAGACAAGCAAGATCTTTCTCCAAGCAAAATAGTTCATTCACTCTAAAACGATGATTCATTGGATAGGAAAAGAAGGTGTCACAACAAACAATTAATGGATGGAACTTTGAGGTGGGGACCAAATTATCACTACATCCCACGAGCAAACATTACGTACCTTGAGGCCATTGTAAATACTTCTCTGTTTGAGGGCAGCTGCCTCAGGGCTTTGGATGCAGAAATCCCATTCAGTAAAAATCCTGGCACTGACATGCGGCTTGAATCCCCACTGCAGTATCTGCCAGTTCATGAAGCTGGCCACAATCCTAGATAACCGGGCAGCAAAGGAGACAGTAACAGACAAGCAAGATCTTTCTCCAAGCAAAATAGTTCATTCACTCTAAAACGATGATTCATTGGATAGGAAAAGAAGGTGTCACGACCTGGAATTCAGCCCAAAGGGTGTGACTCAATCTGGAATAGATATGGTATTACAATGAAAATAGATAAATCAATTTTGAGGAGGGAATGGTGCAGGTCAAAATATAGGAATAGTTTGGCACAGTCTTCCCCAACCTGGAGCTCTCCAGATGTGTTGCAGCTCCCATCATCCCCAGCCAAGTTGTGCTATTGGAAGAGAAAAAAAGCATGCTACAAAACCTCCTAGTCTACCTTTATAATCTACAGTTCTGTGATTCTACCAGGAGAAGGACCATCAAGGATCAGAAATGTGACAGGCAGTTAAGTGAAATGGTTTTAAAGTACCTCAACAAGAACTTCTTTTCCTAAGGAACATGAGCAACCTGTATTTTGAGCAGAGGGCATCTCACCCCATAGCACGAGGAGAAGCAGACATACCCTACAAGAGCACAAACTGCCTGTGTTAATGAGATCCAGTGGGAAATCGTTCTGTCTGTTAATCTCAAGAAGGCTGAGCAGTCTTATTATAACAGGAATGCATTCTTATAATTATCTTCCAGCAGCATATTGCGGATCAGAGGTCTAGCATATTGCTGCTGGAGGATAATTATGAGTATTCATTCCTGTTATAATGAGACTGCTCAGCCTTCTTGAGATTAACAGACAGACCTGCAACTGTTAGCCTTGTTGCAGAAAAGGTAGGGAATTAAAAATAAAGTGAAAGAGACTTTCCTCACCGTATCAGCCAAGTAGAATATTTCCAGCTGTGAGAATTATTAAGTGCTGGGATAGGCTCCAGTCCCAACAGAAAAGCATTATTTCCTTCCAGAGAATTTAATTCCTTCTTGGATAAGTTGTGTTATTTCTCATAACTAGGGGGAGGATTTCTATGATATTTCATATTTTCTCCACATGCCTACCCTTGAACCCATAAGCAAATTCAAACATGTTTATGAGTCATCCGGCCTTTCTCACCAGATTACTCAAACCCACCCATAAGCTCAAACATATGTTGTAGGGGGGGGGAAATGATATGTCAGAGAAATCCTTCCCCTACTCATAACTCAATGTGTGATATGCCGAGCGGCCTGCCTCCTGAGATACCACAGAAAGAAGTTAGCATTTGAAATAGACCAGGTGTAGATCTATTATGTAGGTGACTTAAAAGAGGTCTGGGGGTTGCACATGTCCATCCCAATCTTTGGAGAGCAACATTCACTTCCATGCATCCCACCTAAATTCTTTCTTTCTTTCTTTCTTTCTTTCTTTCTTTCTTTCTTTCTTTCTTTCTTTCTTTCTTTCTTTCTTTCTTTCTTTCTGTTGGAAAAACTCCCTCTTATGCCCTCTAGTGGCTGCAAAGAGCAATTTGGCATTCCCATTTTTATCACACACACCCACGAACATGGCAAGCCTGCTCCTCAAGAAGACTTTTTGACCAAACGTTTTTTTAAAAATAGCAGGGCGCGGGGCTATAGGAGAGGAAGGCGGGCTAGGGGGATGGCTGTATGCAGCCCAAAGGTTCACATTGCCCACGGGAGCATAATGCATACTGTATCCTAATCCCTTTCTTTCCTGAAGCCCTTGACATGTAGCTTTCCTGACCCTTTAAGCCCACATCTTCATCCCCATTTAAATTCTGGCTGGTCCACCCCACCCCACTCACCGCTGGAAGATCCATATGAAGCAGGCAACAAGGTATCCCAAGATGCTAAAGAGGTACGCTAGGCACACAAGATAGTGGCGGTCATCATTTTCTCCCACACTATAAGCCCCATAAAACAGGTAGGAACACTCCAGAGAGCCCTAAGAATGAGACATGGGAGGAAATGAAAAACCAGCAGAATAGTGAGACGCTCTGACGCTTGCAGGTTGAGCAAAGTCACCATTTTGTTGTTGTTGTTGTTTAGTCGTTTAGTCGTGCCCGACTCTTCATGACCCCATGGACCAGAGCACGACAGGCCCTCCTGTCTTCCGCTGCCTCCCGGAGTTGTGTCAAATTCATGTTGGTCGCTTCGATGACACTGTCCAACCATCTTATCCTCTGTCGTCCCCTTCTCCTCTTGCCCTCACACTTTCCTAACATCAGGGTCTTTTCCAGAGAGTCTTCTCTTCTCATGAGATGGCCAAAGTACTGGAGCCTCAGCTTCAGGATCTGTCCTTCCAGGGAGCACTCAGGCTTGATTTCCTTTAGAATGGATAGGTTTGTTCTCCTTGCAGTCCAGGGGACTCTCAAGAGTCTCCTCCAGCACCACAATTCAAAAGCATCAATTCTTTGGCGGTCAGCCTTCCTTATGGTCCAGCTCTCACTTCCATACATCACGACAGGAAAAACCATAGCTTTGACTATTCGGACTTTTGTTGGCAAGGTGATGTCTCTGCTTTTTAAGATGCTGTCAAGGTTTGTCATTGTTTTCCACCCAAGAAGCCGGCGTCTTTTAATTTCGTGGCTACTGTCCCCATCTGCAGTGATCATAGAGCCCAAGAAAGTAAAATCTGTCACTACCTCCATATCTTCCCCTTCTATTTGCCAGGATGTGATGAGACCAGGGGCCATGATCTTAGTTTTTTTTTTATGTTGAGCTTCAGACCATTTTTTTTGCGCTCTCCTCTTTCACCCTCATTACAAGGTTCCTTAATTCCTCCTCACTTTCTGCCATCAGAGTGGTATCATCTGCATATCGGAGGTTGTTGATATTTCTTCCGGCAATCTTAATTCCGGTTTGGGATTCCTCCAGTCCTGGAGGAATCCCAGTCCTGCATGAAAAGCCATCATTGGGGGTTTCTAAATCAGAAACCTGGAGTATAGCAAAGGCAGGTTCACAGGACAACGAGGCCCTGAAATCACCTTGAATCCAAAAGGCTCCTCTCAGTCTAGCTCTAGGTCAATTTTTTTTCTTTTGTGTTATTCTATGTCTACCCCTCTTTTGTCTTCTCTGACCCTGAACTCTAGTTACATGCCAAAGAAGCAGTGTTTGTTTCTGCAGCCTCCTTTCCCCACCCTGGGCATCCCCAGATTGTATTTCCAGTGCACTCACCTCCCCAGTGAAAATGTCCTGGAAACGCTGCCAGGGGGGTCGATGGCCAAGACCACAACTGTAGTTCAGACACTCAGATCCTAGGATAAAGAAAAGGCAGGGACACTCTTTCAATTAGCTCTTCTAAGAGCGGAGGATTTAATCTGGCAGCCATGTCGGGGAAACCATGAGCACAACCTCCCCCAACAGAGTGCTCCTACCACACGGGTTGACGCAGTTCCAATCATCTCTCCCCACCAGCCATGCTAGTGCCAAGTTGGGGGAAACTTCCACTCTGGACAGTGCAAGGATGGACTCACCTGCATCCAGAGTTTGAGGAATGATGGCCCCGTTACGAGGAATAGTAACCAGAGGCAACAATATGAAGCCCGAGGCCAGCAGCACTGCCAGGAGGTTGACCAGCAGCAGGAATCTCAGGATGGTGAAATAGGACTGGATGCCAGAGCCAAAGTTCCCTGAATGTGGCAGAAGACAGCAAGTGTGTGCAACTCAGGCAGACAAGCAGAGTGACAGGCATCAGAGGTCACAGGGAAGAGAACACACGGGGCAAATCCAGTCCTGGATCAGTGCCCCTCTTCTCCCTCACATATAGAATTACCCCTTGGCCAGTTTTGCCTGGCCTGACTGGGGAGTCCGCCTGCTGAACATTTTATTTAGTTCAGTTTCTGCACCAGTCACTGGCAAAGTATAAGTACTCGTGTGTTTTAAAAACACACATCACCAAGCATAAAGTGGAGTGAGTAGCTTCTTCCAGGAAAAGAAAATTATTTCCCCTGAAACAGAACAAATCTACCACCTCATAGCCGCTCTACCCTCCACCACCACACAAAAGCAGAATATTGTGCTTAATGGCCTTTGCAGCCAACCAGCCTCTAGAGGTCTCCCATGCTTCACAGCAGCCTCGTTAGTGGTTCCGTGGGATTAGGATTTGGAAATACTTTTTTTTTCAAAACTACATCTCCCACAATCCTCTAGCCAATATGCAACTTTTCCAAAAGTAACATTTTCAAACCGGCCACATTCTCTTTAGCTGTATCCTCAGCTGTTCACAATACGGGACCCTCATAATCTGCCTCTGTAGACTTACTTTAAAAGCTGAAAACTGGTTCTTGCTTACCTCCCACCTCATCCAGAGACGTTTTCCAAAGCTGGAAGACCCTGGCAAAATTTGAAATGCCTTCTTGAAGCTGCCTCTGCACCCAGCGCTGTCTTTTACACAGTGCAACCCAGCAGGATACATGTTTCCCTGGGGAGGCTCTCAACAACTTTCTGAAAGAAGATACGATTGAGACTTTCAGATCTATGGGGCTTTGTGCCATATAGTTAGGAGAAGACCATATCTTCTACTCCACGTTGCCCTTAAGGATCTCCTTATGCATTTCGCAGACAAAGACACGGTCCCTTTCTCTATCCTGGTTTCTCAGACAGCCTCTCTCTTCCCTCCCACCCTCACCCCATAAATATTCTTGTATCTCATTGATCTACTGCACATTTCTGTTCCACCAGTGATATGTACAGCAAAAGTCGCTATGAACCTACTGAACTTTTGGAGTGCACCTTTCATAACACTTCACTACTGTATCAGCCATCTTGATTGAAGGTGGATGGGAACTATAGATCAAAAGAGGTAAAGGTTTCCTTCTCTTGTGCTATAAGGATGAGAGACCGGGCTATGTCAAAATAATGACACAGGATCAAATATGGATTTTGCCCCTCTCCAGCTGAGTTGCAGCTCTCAGGCTATCGCTAAGAAAAAGGCCTTTTCTGCCATTTATGCCAGAAGAATGGGGATTTTGTATATTGTGAACCACACAAGAGAGTGGCAACACTAATGGGATGGCATAGAAAATAAAATAAAAATACTTTTCCAGCCAGATACTGGAGGTCCTTCCAGACAGAAGACTTGGGGCTCTACCACTCAAAAGACATTGTGGTGCTATAATTTCATGGGTTCTTCTTTAAAGGAGTTTCTATGTTAACAAAAGAAAAAGGAAGATTGGAAGTGGACTATGTCATTGGATACTCAGGAAAATTCCTTCACTGAGGCAGGGCAAATGGCGATAAAAGCCTTGACCAGAAACATACTCTGGTGTAGTTTCAACCTGTGCCTTGGCGTTTCATATCATTACAGTTAGGAGGCACCGTGCTGGTCAGATTTTCCAGTATGATCTCACTTCTGACCTGAGGGAATGCTTCTTTTTCATGGAGCAGGGCAAGGCCCTAAGCAGAGACTCCTGGATTTCCATTCCCTCCAGGAAGTTTTCCGTGCTGGAGTCTGAGTTGACCGACAGAATGTCATGTTCGGCAAGTCTCTGTCGTAGTTCTTGAACATCACACATCATTCAAGATCCCTGAAACAACAACAAAAGATCCCTGAAACAACAAGAAAGAACAGGCTACAGGGGCCTAGAAATAATATAGAACGGTCAAACAGGGGATCTGCGGATAATTCACATTATAATTCCACAAATCCACGGCCTGCATGATCAACAGTTAAGGATTATGGGAGAGGACATCCGAAACACTTGGAAGGCACCAGGTTACCTGCTCACTTTGAACATGTGATACCTTCTTCATCCTTCACACACAAAACCTGCCGCACTGCTAATGCCTCATGATTTTATGTCTGCTCCTATGGCCTGGTTGCTAAATGATCCCAAGTTAATGGTTGTTGTGGGTTTTTCGGGCTCTTTGGCCCCGTGTTCTGAAGGTTGTTCTTCCTGACGTTTTGCCAGTCTCTGTGGCTGGCATCCTCAGAGGACTGGAGTAGGAACTCAGTCCATGGTAGGAGCATGGACAGAGTTCCTACTCCTGTCCTCTGAAGATGCCGGCCACAGAGACTGGCGAAATGTCAGGAAGAACAACCTTCAGAACACAGCCAAAGAGCCCGAAAAACCCACAACAACCATCAGATCCCAGCCGTGAAAGCCTTGGAGATCCCAAATTAAGTTTGGCTGGAAATGAGGAAGGCAGCAAACATATAGTATGATATAGACATCACCCAATAAAACTATAAACTATGTAGTTGTTTTCATCTTCAAAATGGCACACTGAGGGCAAAGAATCTTTTTTTAAAAAAAATCCAGCCTCTGAGGAGGCTCGTTAAAACGTATCTGACCAAACTGGATAAAGAAACACAGACCAGGTAGTATGAGTGGGCTACCCATTAGAATTGCATTAGATTTAAGACCTGTTATTGTTTCCTGAAATGGCCAGTCACGTCTTGCCACTTGGACCAAATGGGAACCATAGTCTCTTCTCCTCTGTTTACGCAGATATCTCCAAGATTCAGTCTGCCTCAGGTCAGGCCTGGAGAAAGAAAAACAGTGCAGTTTCTTTTCTCTCTCAGCTTTTAATGAAGTGGCTAATCCCGGTCAGAGAAACTTTCGCACGTATACAGAGTTCAGGTTCTGTTGCAAACAGCTCATCCTTATCTGTTTGGTAACACACAGCAGTACTTACAGCTTCTCCTCCAAAAAAGAAGCCACTTGTCCTTTTCTTCTTTTGGCTTCTTTCTCTGGTAAGGTCACACCACCAAGCCCTGCCTCCTTAACCTTAAGTGCAGTTCTGGCGGTGAGGCTGCTTCTTTGGAAGAAGAGAGAGACAAACTAAAGAGTAACTTTTTCTTCTTTTTTAAAAAAACTCTGGTAGTAAGTTGATCCTTCGGCTGTACAGTAAATATATAAGTGCAGTATGATAAAGGCAGGCCCATGTGACAGGAACAGGCTGTTTCCTGTAGTGTGTCAAGTCAGCCTGTGTGGGATGTGTTGCAAGCAAACCATACAGTATCTCCACATGGCAGCCTGGTTTACAAGGGTTGCAAGCAAACCATATCTCCACATGGCAGCCTGGTTTACAAGGGGAGACCAAAAAAAGAAAAGGAATCTTCTTGCATTGTCTCCAGCAAATGCGATATTGTTCTGTTACTGACAGTCCTCCAGCTTCTGCTTCTCCCAAGGGTAACTGTAGATGAAAAGAAGTTTTTAGTACTTATTTTTCTGCTTACTTGCCTGCACAGAAGTAAAAACAACAGCAACAACTCAGGGTCCTGATCTTCTACAGATAGATAATTAATTTATATCTAACTATGTTCTAGAAAGATACTCTGAAAGACAGCAACTGCATGTTAGGAAAAATGTACAATGAATATATTTTTCTGAAATGAGCTGTACGGCTGTGTGAAACTGTCGTATTTGCCTTTGTTAGAATTTGCAACATACCTGGCCAGTTTTAGGTTCAATTTCTTTATTTTCCTTTTTTTAAAGTTCAATTCCTTTCCTCCTCTATTTCTCCAAAGCTTTCTTCAGAGTTAGCATTTTATTTAAACAGAGAAAGGATTATGAAAGAGAGATGACAGCCAAACAGGTACATTGGGAAGGGGTTCTGAATATTCTTAGTAATTCATTTATTTAAAATGTTTTTATCCCACCTTTCTCCTTAAAAAGGACCAAAGCTGGCTTACATCATTGAAAGACAATATTTAAAGGTGAAAACAGTGAGTATACAAATATAAGAGGGAACAAACAAATACCAGTCTGAGAGATGGTAAACACAAGTAGTACTAACAACCCAGTCAGAGCAGTAAGGCGTAACAATCCATCTAAAAGGTGTAGCCAGTCACTGAGGGAAAACTTGCCTAGCATTTGTGTAACCACGCTAGAGGGCTCAAGTGCAATGCTGCTGAGGACTTTACTGAGAATTACATCTCACTTAATTCAACACAGTGGAGAAAACAGATTTGCATCCAGTGTGACCTGTACAGAGCCTGTTTTCATGTTAGCATACATAGGAATGTGGGAGTAAACTGGTTGAACAGACATTTATTTTGGTCAGGGAATGCTGAGGAATGGTCTTTCTGGACAGAAGGCTGAGGTCAGAGTTCACATCACTTTCATCAAACTACAGTCGCCAAGATTCCTTGAGTAAATGCACGCAGGTTAAGCTAGGATAAAAATTCTGTATCTTACAATGGAGACGCACCTGATGAATTAGCCAAGAATAAAGTAACACTATCCCGTGTCAGTGAAAGGTTCCATTTAAAGGCAACTCTCGACACCGGGCTTCCTGGATGGTGCATGTTGTTCCCAGGAACAGATACTGACCTCTACCAAAGAGCGGCTCTTTTGCAATAAAAGGAAAGGCGACCCGAGGAAAGAGCCTGCTCCGAGTACTGTAGTTGCTTGGAAGAGACCAAGGACTGCACTTCCCAGCGTCCTCTGTAGCACAGGTGAGGCACCGGGTGGGGCCTGCCGGCTGCCGCGGGGCGGGGGCGCGGCGGGCGGAAAAGTTTTCTGCGACTTTTGTGGCGACTCCGCAGGTCAAGCGCGCAAGGTAAGCGGTGAGCGAGGTGTTTGGTGTACCCGGACAAAGGCTATTTGGGACCTGCGGGGTTGTGAATTTGTGCCTTTTCCCAATCTGTAAGCCAGGAAAGGTTCCGTTTACCATTGTTCCTCTCTGCGATTGCCTATCATCTCTGTAGGGTTGCGAACTCGGGACCGCGTGCGTGGTCCCGATTACGTAATTACTCCTCTGGGTCTCCAAAGTTCCAGGACCCGGCGTGGGATGATCATGTGCGTAACTGGTTGCTGGTGGGAAAACTGATCAGATAGCGATCCGAAGAGCCTTTCCTAGGAAACAGTGCGGCCAACGACCCAAATGGCTTTTTTCTCACGCCCACGCGGCGGGTGTTTGTAGCGTCGCAGCCTTCTTCACGCAAGACTGGCCAAATCGCCGCCGCCCCCTTGAGAGACCCAGAAAAAGGGTTGAGAGAGAGTCACCGAAGACGCGCGTGGGAGCAACGACCGCCTTTCTCCCTTTCCTGAGGAGGGCGCTGCAGTGGCAGCTAGGTAGCAGAGACTTTGGACTGGAATCAAATAGGAACATGTTTTATTTTTTGAAAAGCAAATTCCTCTCCTCTTTCTTCCCTTACCAAGGTCTCTAAGCAAAAAAGAAAAGAAAAGAAAAAAGAGCAGAAGCAATACTGGGGAAGGAGGCTCCTTAGTCGTCCATCTAATGTGAAGATCTTAGGGTGCGGTTTTTTCCTGAGTAGAATTACTTCTTTTAAACAAAGTTTCATGCATTGCAATCCAAGTATTGCATTATGTACTTTTAAAAAGTGGGTGGATTGTTCTTGCAGGCTAAATATAGTTCATAGACATATTATCACCAAAAAAATTGTAGCTGCACTGATTCTACAGACGTTTCCAACACAAGACATCTCTGAAACCCTTTATTTTCATTATGTTATAATTTTTAATTCCTGGTCATATGGGTTTTTTTCTATTTAGAATGTTTGTGATGAGTAGGACTAGCTGAGCCCCTTTTTAATCTTTCACCCACCCAAATAGAGCCCTTTCAAAACAGTTAAAAGTAATACTAGGGTCCTAAACCAATTGACTGTACTTGCAAGTAGGGCTTCATCATGGTGATACCTTCATGTCAGCCAGCTGGGCTCTTCAGTAGAAGGGTGAGAAAGCAGAATTGGGGAGTGGCTTGTGATTCAAGGATGCTTTCCTGAATCTTGTTGAGATGTCCCGGTACATCAGGCCAGATAATGTGAAGGCATTAGCTGCAGAGAGAGTACACAGACGAGGGGGAAGGGTGGGAAATGAGATTGCAGCCTGTTCTGGCTGGCACAGCAGGAGCAGAAAGCCTTGGGCATGCAACTTTTCCATTAAGACAGAAGCTGCTGCTTTGGGAGAGCAAGCAGAACGTGGAGATAGACTAGGAAAAGGATGCCTTTGCTTTCTACTAGTAAGAGGGTTGCGCCCAGCCATGGGAAGAGAGAGCCAAGAAGCTAAGATGGCCGGCCATTGGGAAGCCTTGGGTTGGTAAGTCAGCTGCCTGCAGCGTTTGTTTGGGGGTTGGAGCTCCCAGTTGCACTGAAGACACACCTTGCTGCCCTCCCCCCCCCGTTTCACTCCTGAACTGGCCAAGAAAGAGAGATCTTTAGCAGAGGCAGGAATCTTTTCTGCTGGGGTTACTGTATTGTGCTGACCAGGTCAAACCCCAAACCACAACATATCTGGAATGCAGCAGTGAAAAAAGGCTGTCATGTTTCTGCTTCCCTGAGTTAGACCCAGGTGGATGGGCCTCACAGGGTAACAACCCTGGAGCTATTCTGATCTCCTTTTAGAATAATCATTGGCCCTGCAGATGTTTCTGACTCCAGCTTCCATCCTGGCTGGTGGTGAAAGAGTGGCGTGGGGGTGAGGGGGTGTTGTTGTCCAGAATATTCAGGAGAGGGTGAAGGTTCCTTGTTCTGGATTCTTATAGGAGGAGCCAGCCCCATCCTGTGACTCGGGTCCACAACTGACTCGTGGTGGACGATGGTATTCCAGCAAAGGTTTTCTGGCCATTTGTTTCCAAAATCTCTCAGGACTCAGTCAAGAAGGAAATAAATCCAGAGCGCCCCACTTATCTTCTTCTAGCTGTATAGCTAAACAACACATTTCCCTGTGACTAGTAGGCAACAGTTCTGATCTCATACAGGAGCCTCTTCTGATATTTATGAATATGTGCACAGAAAGCTTCTTCATAGAGGGCAAAGCATGGAACTATATACCGGCTGTTAGATGAAAATAGTACCTACCTCTCTGTGACCTTATCAAATATATTCCCAGTAAAGCAGACCTCATGTGTAACTGACTGGGTTTTTGTGCTTTTTGCTCCACAGAATTGCATCTCTTCCTGGAATTAAAGGGTGTAGGTATGGATGAGGTCAAACACATCTATCTGCCCAGTCTTGCCTGCAGGGTAGAGTTTAACACAGGGAAATTCCTGTCCTCAGGACAGGGAGGAGAGGCTGGGTGCACTGTGATTAACTCCTTAATGCTCAGCCCTTGCTCTGCCAACTAAAATCATCCTTCCCTATCTGGGCAACTGAGTCAAAACTGTCAGAAATTTCTGCTAAGTAAAGCTGGGTGCAGCTGCTCCAAAAAAACCTCTGTGCCTGCCCTAATTTCTACTCCATCTTGAGAGGGAAAAGGTGCACACTTATTCATATTTAGCATTTTTTGCAGTGGGTGGGGCAGAGCTCCATCTCATTTGCATAGGTTAAGTGTATTTACTCTGCACAGATTCAAACCTATTGTTCCTGCACAGGAAACCCCAAGCCTGTTGTTTAATTCTGCAGAGAGTATGTAAAAACTGGACAGGTATCTTTAAAAAAAAGAATGCCCTAAGAGCAGAGGACAGCACAGATCCTTAGCAGGGTAAAGATTTTCATCAGGTGGAAACATGTTAGAGAGAAATAGGTAAAGCTTCTTGCATGGATGTAAGCTGTAGTAAGAGCTTGGCATTCTGTTAGGCTGATGCCAAAAGCAGGACAAAGCCTTTGAATTTATATGGGGAGCAATGGGAAGGCTGGCAGCCATGACTGGCCAAGCAGATGCCTCTTGTGTGTATCTCTTGTATAGCAGCTGAACCTTTTCATTCGGGTGAGAATAAAGAAAGTGAGAAACTTGGCATTTAGGCAGAGTGTCCATATGTTTCCTTCAACTCTATATTTCATGTCATATTAGAGAAGCTGTTAATGTTCTGAATCAGAACCCTGGCTGCTCAAGTTGCAGTGGGAGTGCCTTTGCCCTTTTGTTTTCGCTAAACAGCGATTTAAGAGGAACTGATTAACATTGTCTTGCGGGGCACCACTGTAGATCCATACAGTCCTAGGACAGAGCTTGTGAATTTTTGGAACTCTATATGTTTTGGACTGTGACTCTCACATTCCTGTATCATTGACAGTACAGGCTGGGGATTCTGGGAGCTGTAGTCCAAAACATATGGAATGCTAAAGGTTCACCATCCTTGCTCCTAGGGACTAGGTGCTTCTTATGGAATGCTAAAGGTTCACTATCCTTGCTCCTAGGGACTAGGTGCTTCTATGCCAACCTGCCAACATCTTAAAATCTGAGGAAGATGCCCTTTTCTGAGTGTCAGCTCTGAAAGAGGTGTAATTTATGAGGATAAGCAAAAGGGTTTTCTTAGTGTCTCCATCTAAGTGACTAAATCCCTTTTTAAAAATGTACTCCATCACAGCAGAGGTTTGGTTTTCTGCTTTTTTTCAAGCAGGGGGCAAAACTGCAGTGGAGCTCCCACGTCTTTTCTTCTGCATTTGCCATGATCCTGAGAAAGGCAAAAGTCCTGGCGATTTGGCATCCTGTAGGTTGTTTGGACTCCCAACTCCTGTCAGTTTCAGCCATTATGGTTGGGGAGGGGAGGGAACGGTAGCAGCTGTATTCTAGAAACATCTGGAGACTTCTGGGTTGCCTCCCCACTTGGTTGCATTATGGTTTCCTAAAGTAAGGCACCACAGAGTTGTTTCCTTTGTTCTCCTGGGCTGCTGTAGACTTGTGAAATAATGGGTGTCTCTCATACAAAGTTCTGAAATAGAAGATGCATCAAAGTGAAAAAATGTTGCAACTTCTGCACAACAGAGACGTGTCAGATAAACGATGGTGTTTTCCTGACTCCAAACACCAACTTTATCATCCAGGTGACCATGTTCAGTTTGTTTTTGTTTTATAGATCTAGTATCATTTCGTGCATCAAAGTGAAAAAAAAATGTTGCAACTTCTGCACAACAGAAACGTGTCAGGTAAACGATGGTGTTTTCCCGACTCCAAACACCAGCTTTATCATCCAGGTGACCATGTTCTGTTCGTTTTTGTTTTATAGATCTAGTATCATTTCTCTGCTTTCTTCTCCTCTTGCTTTGCCGGTAGCCACCCCAGTCAGGGGTGGAGGCAAATTTCCTGTCAGGCAGGAAGCTCTGCTGTGCTTGCCTGTTGTTGCGCAGTGTGCAAGTACAGTAAAGAGTTAGTTGGTTCCCAGAGTGTTGAGGGGATGTATTTCCCCCACCCCTAAGAATGCGGGGCCTGAGGCGAGGCATGCCATAGCCTCCCTCAGGCCAGCAGCCCTTGTGCATCGGACTGCAACATTCCTTATCTCCCTAGTAACATGGGGTGACAGCTGGGGATCCTTGATTGAGGCAGCAAAAAGAAACTTTGCCCAACTCTGCTGATATTCAAGCCAGAAGAAGCACCTGCAGGTAAATGCAGAGTCTCTTACCCTACCCCACATTCATTCCTGGAACACCCCTCTTTCCTCTCCCCAGCTGTTCCACCCAAGGTGCAGTGGGTGGGTGGGTGAAGGAAAAGGCCTGCCGCCAGCTGATGTGTTTGCATTATCAGAGTTCTCAAATGCAGAGCGAGGTCACAGCACTGTGGTGTGAATAGCAGCCTTTGTCTCAACCTCCCGCTTTCCTTCCTCTTCACCCTGTTTTGCATGCAGTTGACAGGGTGGCTGCTCCTCCTCCTCCTCTGGTTGCCATTTGGCTTCTGTTTTACGTCCTGCTTTGAGAGGCAACTACTACCATGTGTTTCTTATGGCTGGCAGGCTTGAATGTATCCTGCTTTGAGAGGCAACTACTGTACTACCAGGTGTTTCTTATGGCTGGCAGGCTTGAATGTTGCAGCTTGTTCTTCAGCTTTGCGTTGATGACTATGGAAACTGACTAGAGGCCCAGCTGGACATTCTGACTTCAGGATCATGTAAACTTCAAGGGATGATGCTGAGCCCAAAGAGCCTCAGTGGGAGCAGTTTCTCTTGAGTAATGGGCTCCTTGTCCAACCTGCATTTAGAAACAGCTTCAAGCTGAGAAATGAAGAGGGACGCAAACTGACAGACAAGAACTTGTAAACTCCGGAATTCAAGATGTCCCACACAGTCACCTTCACCTTTCACGGCTCTGACAACCGGGAGACAAACAGGTGGGTGTGGCCGAATTTTAAATATATACGTGAATTTTAAAAAATCTAATGGGGTGTCTTTCACCTCCTCTGTGCAAGGAATCTTGAAATTGTTTAGGATGCCTTCCAACGAAGTAGATGAGCAGCGTGAATTGGGATCTGTGTAGGGCAAAGCACTCCATTCACTTGGAAACCCAAAGGCAGGACATCTCTATTTCTTGTCTTCAAAGGATCCCAACATACTTCCATCAGAAGGACATACTTTCTTAAGGCCCTCTGATGTCTAACACACAGATGTTTGAAAGTCTGATAGACAGTAGGGTGTAGAGGTTAGAGCTTTGGATGGAAACTTGGGAGATCTAGTTTCAAGTTTTCACTGAGCCTTGCAACTCGATGAATGATTTGAGCTATGTCAGTCGCCCACTATCAGCCTGAGCCTCCCTCCTAAGATGGTGGTGAGGATGGAGATAGGGAGGAGGAGACCCATGTAGGCTGCTTTGGGCTCATGGGAGAAAAGACATGATGGGTCATGAAACACACAGACCAAGAGAGGAGTCTCTCTTTCTCTTCTGGGCACAAAACAGGGCCTCAAGGGATTCAGCCAATGTGGATAAAATGATAGACTAGGATTCAAGAGACCTGGTTTCAAATCACCACTAGGCCATAGAAATTCACTGAGGGATGGCAATAGTAAACCATTTTTTTCAATCTCTCACATACTTTGAAAACCCTACTTGTCGTAAGAGTGTGAAAAAAAGATTTCCAAGTCTTGCCGTAGAAATACCCTGTCTCCCCCAAAATGAGACCTAAACTGAAAATAAGCCCTAGTATGATTTTTCAGGATGCTCGTAATATAAGCCCTCCCCCAAAATAAGCCCCAGTTAAGTGAAACCCTGCCCTCCACCATTGTACAGCAACCAGAAGAAGATGGCATGACTGTATTTGAATAAATGTAGATTGGTGTACATGAAAAAAATAAAACATCCCATGAAAATAAGCTTTAATATGTTTTTTGAAACAAAAATTAATATAAGACCCTGTCTTATTTTCGGGAAAACACAGTAGGAAGCAAGAAGTGTGCCATTAAACGTTTAAGGTTGTTCCAAGCTAGCTCAAAGACTGAAAATTTTAGTGCATGTTTAGTTCAAGGCAAAATAATTACTGAAAAACTCTGAAAAGGAGACATTTATATGTCTTAATTGATTTTTTTTACCTCATAAGAGGCCAGGGTTTCATCCCCGAGTAAAGCAGATGAGCCATAGGATGAATGTGGGCATGTAGAGAACTTGTGGGGCAGAAGCAGTTCCTGTTAGAGCCATGCTTGTGGAATTAAAACTTTATGAGGTAACTGGTGAGGAGAATTTACTGGGTCAGATAGAGGATCTGTTTTTCTGCAGGGCCTTGGTCCATAAGAGCCTTCATTTGCTCATCAGTCAGGGACGTGCAAGGCTCACCGTCCAGGGCCATAACAGATTATGCCCTCAGTTGTGGCTGTTCTTATTCATGCTCAAAATGTCTCAAAACACCTCATTAAATCTTTTCCATCTTAATAGGAAGGCTTTGAGTGCTGTACTGAAATAGGGGTATACTAGGACTGCTTTTGGGCTTCTGGAGGCCCTTCATGTTACCAACTGGTTGCACATTTCCATCATCTGCACTACCTCTTCTTGAACAGTGTGGCAGTGAGTTCCAAAGCACCTGTCATCCAAATGGTAACACTTTGAATTGGGCTATATTTATTCTCAGTGCATGGCCCACAATTTGTTTGATGAGGCTTTAGTTTCTCTATCATCTGTATACAGATCTCCAGTGTGCAGATCAGTTATTATCACAGAGCTTCATAAATACTCGGCACCTCACCTGGGACCTGTATACCCATTTGAAGCATGTGAATAAGGCCTGTGCCTATCAATTGCCTTGATTCTAAAAGGAGGGATAGTAGCACTGCCTTCTGCTGAGGTAATCCAGTGTGTCTCAGAGACATGGTGAGGAACTTTTCCCTTCTGGCATGTTTTGATCCCGAAAGTCCTCATTTTAGAGTGGAAGAACCATGATTCTAGGGCTTGTCATAGCAGAGAGACGGTTCAGAAACTTTAACCAGCATAAAGAGCTTTGGAAGGTCCTGTTTCATCTCTAAGAATATGTCGGCTTTATCTCTGCAGGAACTTGAGAATGCTTCTCTGTAAAATCCTTTATCACCTGGGATACTTTTCTGAAACAAGATAAAGGAGGACATTTCTAAACCCAGCTTGAGGGAAGGGAGCCCTTCATGGTATTTTCCTGCATCTTCTCTTAGGGCTTTTTTACAGGTTAGAGAAGAAGTAGATGTAACTTCAAAGTACAGCTACATATGTCCCAAAACACATGAGACTGCTGAGCATCTGTTTTTGTTTTTCACTGATTGCACAGTGCACAAATACTCGGTTAGGAGCTGAAATAGGCACTGTCTTTGCAATACATATTTCAGACATGGACATGAAAAACCTCAAACTGTCTTGGATTGCGAATCTGTGCCTGTTTCTGCCCTTATGTTTGCAATATGTGTATGTTTGTTTTTGCAAGGTCTCTTCGTTCCTCTGAGGCTATAGCTTTGCAAGACCTGGTTGTGTTCTTCGTAGGTATTAAACCAATGGCCAGAGCTATAGGGTATACTTCCATGCCAACTGCCAAAGCAAGTGATCCATTTGTGGTTGCTGAAACTCTGCCTGGCAGGATCTCTGGGTTCTAGAGCAGTGGTCCCCAACCTTGGGCCTCCAGATGTTCTTGGACTACAACTCCCAGAAACCTTCACCACCACCTCTGCTGGCCAGGATTTCTGGTAGTTGAAGTCCAAGAACATCTGGAGGCCCAAGGTTGGAGACCACTGTTCTAGAGGACATTCAGACCTGACTCTTGCCTTGCCTCATCCCTCATGAATCAGAGGAGACCTAGATCACATGCTGTCATGATAAGCATTTTGCTGGCTGAACACTTTTTCTACCCTGATTCTCTGTTCCCCACAGCCAAGACACAAGTCCCTATGATGAAGGTGCCGTCCATGATTCCTTCCACCAGCTCATCCAGGAGCAGAGTTTTCTGGCTGAACAGGAGCAGCTGGAGATGCAGGACCTGCCTTCCAGGGCAAGAGGTGAGAAAGGCCGCTTCTGCCCTCAGGAGCCCTGGTGGCTCAATGCCCTCTCTCTGACGGTTGCATGGGAACAGCGAGATGGTGGAGTGAGGCTTGACCATAGCTGTGCCTTTGGCAGGACCGGGCTGCGGAGACAGATCTTCTGCCCCCCCATGCACACACGGGTGCCCTGCCCCCCCATGTGCACCCTGCCCACCTGTCGCCCCCCCCCATGCACACACGGGTGCCCCCCCATGTGCACCCTGCCCACCTGTGCATGTGCACACTGGTGCCCTGCCCACTAGCACCTGCGCACCCATCCAGACACATGCTCCATCCACTCGAGCGCGTGCATGTGTGCCCCTCCCTCCCATCTTATCCGCAGTTTGGAAAAGGTTGGGGACCTCTGCTCTAGGCAACAATTTTTTAAATCTTCATGGTTTTTGGAAACACTGCACACTGAAGCTGCATCACCCAGTTGGGGAAGATGCAGGACAGCGAGGGCTCATCCCTCTGATTACCTCCACTTGCTGGTCAGGGTAACAGTCTCATTCCCCAGTGTCCCTTTTACCTTCTAGTTGGGAAGACCAGCAGGGTGGGGGGCAGTCTCTGCACCTGGGGCTCTGGGTTAGAGTTGGGGAGCCCAGAGAGGTGAGGAGGGTCCCTACCCTCAGGACTCTCCACAAGCCACATAGGGAACTTCCGTGGGTCAAATTAAGGCCCGTGGCTGGAGCATCTCCTCTCTTACTGTAACAGTAAAAAAGCAGAATGGGAACACAAATATTTTTTGCATATTCTTTCCAAGTCTCTTTTCATATTTTTGATTGAACTTGCTTCTGAGGAGTCGAAGACGCTCTGCCCACTCACTCAGTTTCGTCTTATCAGTAGCCCTTTGAAGTAGATCAAGGCAAGGGCTAGCAACAGTTCAACCTGTGGGCTTCAGAGACTGCCTGGGGCTAAGAACTTGACTCCCCAGCTCTGTCTTAGATTGGCTTCGCAAAGCCAGTGGAAGTAAAATGCAGTGTCTTTTAAAAGGAATATAAGAAATGCCTTTATGTGATAACTTAATCCAATCCTGGCCCCAGATGCTACCCAGATGCTGTCACTGAATCCCTGTTGGGTTCACCTTATCAAACGCGACAGAATCAGTGCTAGTCCTGTTGACTCAGGTTACTACAGTGAACAGCACATGCTAAGCATATTCCTGGTGGGGCATTCCTTGTGTTTGCATCCCTTTAATATCACTCCAAGGCACGCTACAAGCCTGATCCTTTGTTAGTCTGAAAGGCCATCTCTTGTTTCCCACCTCCTTTTGTTTTCTCCATTGATTTTAATTTTTGGTATCCTGTCCTCACAGAGATGTCTCCTTCACTTAAAAAAAAAAGGAATGGAGATATTCTAGCTTGATCTCCTTCCATTTCATAGGAATGTAAATTTGTCTAGACTTGATTAGCACTTGGGCAGGAGCACTCCCATCATGAACAAGATAGTCATTAGAACGGTTCTGGGATGTGTCGTTATAAAAATGCTCCATGTCAACAAAGCCCTTAAGTTACACAACACTTCTGTTTGCATCTGATTACTCCCTTTTAACCACTCTGAAGTCTGGGGCAAATTTGTTCTTTGCTTACTCTTAACTATACTCATTTTCCTTTTGCATATTTGCTTTAAGACCTTCCAAATATTTGGACTGTTTTATGGTCTTGCTTATTTAGTAAGGTTAGTGAAATGCTGTTGTGTAACATACAGAGCAGTCCAGTGGAGGTGGGAAGGCAGAGTCCATGACAAATGAATTCCTGCTTCTGATGTGCCCCAGGGCTCTTGACAACAAGAGGGAAAATGGAAGGATTTTTCTCTCTCCTGTTTTTGGTTTTGGATGTCTGTCCGGTTAGTCCAAGTAACTACAATGCTTTTAGGGCTATCAAAGCTTTTCTACTCCTGTTCTAGGAGGACGCCTTGGGAATGGGGAAACTTTGGATGCTGTGAATCCATGACCACTCTTGATCTGCTCCAGAACATTATTTGTTCCCGTTTATGTTGTTAGACATGCAGAGGGAGTGCTGCAGTATCCCATCCTTCCAGGATACCCTTCAGGGAACATACGATCCCAGCATATATAAATGATATCTGTATTGAAGCAACTGGACTGACTTGGAGAAGCAAAACACTGGCTGAAATCCTGTTGGCAAAGCTGCTGTACTTACATTACTTTATTACAGTCAAAAACCAGCATTAAATAAATAATACTGAACAGAACAGAAATATACTATATATATTATGCTAAGCACCACATTCATGTAGTATATGAAATTTATATAACAAGCATCTGAAAAGAAAGGAAGGAATCACTGTGTTAATAGAAAACTATAGCAAGCTGTGGCCACACAAAATCTGGCCACTTTACTGGTAATATGAAAGAAGCAATGAAATATAAAATTCTTCAGATCTCCTTGTGAATTTTTGAAGAATAGGTAAAAGAAATGCTTGATAAAGGTCATGGTAGAAGGAACAGTGTAACTGATCATGCCCAGCTGTTTCCACTTCCCCACTTTCATGGGGATATAAACAGTTCTGACAGGGTACAGTGGTGCCTCGCTTAACAACGTTAATTCGTTCCAGCGAAATCGCTGTAGAGCGAAAACGTAAAGCGAAAATTAAAAAAAAACATTGGAACGCATTAAAACCCAGTTAATGCATTCCAATGGGCTAAAAACTCACCGTCCAGCAAAGATCCTCCATACGGCGGCCATTTTCGGTGCCTGTATAGCGAGGAATCCGTCCCTAAGCACAGCGGGGAGCCATTTTGAGCATCCAGTGGCCATTTTGAAAACCCGACAATCAGCTGTTTTGATTGTCATAATGCAAAGAATTGGTTCCCAAAGTAGGGAACTGATCTTTGCAAAGCGAAAAAAAACCCATTTAAAACATCGTTTTGCGATCGGTGAAGCAGATTCGTCATAATGCGGGGTAATCGTTAATCAGGGCACGACTATACTCCATGATATCTCTCCTCTATAGGATCACGGAAGGTAAAACATTAAATCAGGCTTTCCTGCAGCAAGGATGCCATCATCAGCCATGGCTGTTTTGGGACAGAGCCTTCATTCCCCCCAAGATCCCCTTCATCCTGGGGCAGCCTTCAGGAGCCATGGTGTGGGAGAGGGAATGATTTAAAGCAGAAAAATGCTGACTGTTGTCAGTCCCAGTCCCATCACTGGGACTGGCACTTTAAATCATTCTTTTGTTCTGCTGCTCTTGAAGGCCACTCCAGGACAAGGGGAAATTCCTAGAGATCCCTGAAACCTGATGGGGTAAGCTGTAGGCAGCTTTTTGTTGACCCTAAATGGTCATGGCATGGCTGATGATGTCATCCTCATTACATGAGGTAAAGTTGCACAACAGGATTTCAGCCACAGTGCATCTTTTTCATGCTGAAGAATGAAACACAGATCACAAGACTGAAAATTCATAAACTCAGAAATTTGTCAAAAAACAAGATTCTCAGATGTAATGAGGTTTTGGTATCTCTGCTGCTTTTGTTTTTCTCTTCCCACGGGTCTTTTGAAGACTCTATGCAAATATTTCTGGGTAAGATTTACTATAGGTACAAAGAAATCATGTTGGATGGTAGGATGTGCCATATAAATCGTCGTTTAGTCATATCCGACTCTTCGTCAGAAATTTGTCAAAAAACAAGATTCTCAGATGTAATGAGGTTTTGGTATCTCTGCTGCTTTTGTTTTTCTCTTCCCACGGGTCTTTTGAAGACTCTATGCAAATATTTCTGGGTAAGATTTACTATAGGTACAAAGAAATCATGTTGGATGGTAGGATGTGCCATATAAATCGTCGTTTAGTCATATCCGACTCTTCGTGACCCCATGGCGGCAGGATGTGCCATATAACTTGTCGTGTAGTCATATCCGACTCTTCGTGACCCCATGGACCAGAGCATGCCAGGCCCCTCCACTGCCTCCATATAACTACATTATTATGAACTCCTCTAAGATCTTTCTTAAGACCTCTGAGAGCCTTGATGTTGTGCAGATCTCAGAAGCTACAGAGACCAAGCGACCCGAACGATCTGAGCTTTCTACAAGGACAGTTCTCCATGGCCATGGAAGAACACCCCGTCCTGAAGGCCAGCAGCATAATTGCCATATTATCCAAATACATACAAATAATCACATTATATTAGTGAAACTAATTTGGCAGCTTAGGGCATGTGCTTTGTATTTATTCATGCCAAACAATCACTTCTCGGCCTTTTGGCTAAGATCGTGTAGTATCTGTGTGTAGTTCATGCCAAACATAGTGACAGCAAGTGGAAGCCACCTTCTCTACATTCCTGTTTTCTTTCCATGCCTTCCTTCCCTGTTCTGCTTGGTGTTTTTTTATGTAGTGGTAGAAATTCTAGACTTGCTAAGTCCTTCCCCTCCCATAGGAAGCAACATCCTAATGTATTTCAGCAGGTTGGTATGCTCATAAGAGAGGTTTTGGGGCTGTGCCATGGGTACCAGTCTGAAGCAAGCCAGAGGTCATAAGAACATCGCTTGAATATGTTAATTTTTTGAATGAAAACTCCCAAGAATCCCACAACTTGTAGTAAAAAAAGAAAGGAACTTCTAACAAGTCTGCACAAAACGTCAGTAGTCACTCGAGTCGAGATAGAGGACAAACAAAGAGGCAGGACCAAAGGAATCACCCAGAAGTTAGGGATGAGGAGGCAACAGTGCATAGGGAGAATCTTGTTGCGAAGGCAAAACTTAGTTGGCTCCTGAGCTGCTGGATAGCTCAGTGGTTTAGACTTCTGGTTGTGGAGCCAGAGGTTGGGAGTTCAATTCCCCCACTGTACCTCTATGACAGGGGTGGACTCAATGATCCATCGGGTCCCTTCCAGCCCTGCAGTTCTAAGCTGATGGTTACCTACTTTCCAACCCAGAAGGTTCTGACAGATGCTTGGTTGGGTCAGTAGATTTCATGTTCAGCATTATGGGCCCATGAAGGATCGAGATCAATTCAAGATATTAAGCCTTTGCTAAATTTGGAGGAGTTGCTTAATGTTCAGTGTCGATGCTATCCTCACAGAGAATGGATATTACATTTTGAACATATGAGGTATTTCAAAACCTCAGGAAGCTCAGGGATTTATCATGTTTGGTATAAAGGTGCTTTCACATTTTCTTCTCACATATGTTTTGTCAGGATGCAAACATTTGAACCATAGAAGCTTGGGGGTTTTCTCTTCTAGCTAACACTGTCTCTTTGTGTCATCGTCGGCTGGATAACTTGCCTTTGTTTGATCCTTTTGGGCAGTGCTTTCCTAGCTTACGTCCCAAGACCTTCTTGGAATAAGCTTTCATTTCTGGCTGTGCTGACCAGGATTTCTGAGAGTTGTAGTCCATAAATATCTGTGAACCCAAGGCTGAGAATCCCTGATTTAGAGAGCAATCATTGAACCAGGTTGTGTGCCAAGAATCTAAGATGATTCCTCAGTTTTGAGCCAGCATGGCAGCTGTAAATGTTTGAGTTAGTCCACCCACCCCTTCCCTTGAGGGGAGCAAGGCAGTACAGTCCTTTTAGGGAAGGATGAGCATTGCTGCTTAAGTAGAACCTTCATCCTCTCAGCCAAGAAGCAAGTAAGCTGGATGTTTTCTAGCAGAAGATCTGTTCCTCATTCACTCACGTTGAATGAGGGGAGGGAGCAGGGAAGAACTACCGTAGGATTTTAATGACATGTTCCTATGTGTGGCTTAGAGATCTGTTAATACTCTGATCGCTTCTTAATGCCCCCATGAGAGCAGTGCTCTTGATTTACAGATTGTTGAGGGAAGTGCCATGTTGCGGCATATAACTTTATTCACATAAGGACCATTGTGGACCAAATGGTTGATTCTGGCTTTGGGGTGGGAGAGAGAAAGAGGGAGAGAGGAAACAAAGAATGGGTTTGGAAGAAGTGGCCAGGTTTGAAACTTTTTCAAGAAACACCACCTTCTAAAGCAGTGGTCCCCAACCTTGGGCCTCCAGATGTTCTTGGACTACAACTCCCAGAAGCCTTCACCACCACCTCTGCTGGCCAGGATTTCTGGGAGTTGAAGTCCAAGAACATCTGGAGGCCCAAGGTTGGCGACCACTGTTCTAAAGGAAGAAGAAGGAAAAGAACTAAAGAGGAAATTTATGTGAGGAAGATCGCAGCTATGATAGCTCAACAGGAGGCTGGTGGTTCTGTAATTAGGCCTCTTTTCCCTTTCCAACTTCCAGAGAACGCGGCTTCTGTGGCTTCTCCTCCCCACCGGACAGAGGCTTGGGCTGCAGTAGACGAGACTGTGGAACATCCTGACTTCTCCTCAGCTACGCTCCGCATCCTTGCCAGTATGCCTAGCCGTACTATTGGTGAGTTTGACTGAGCCTGCCTGGAAGTACCTGTGCAGCCCTGGGCCCATTTCTGGCTTCTTTTGTATTCCGGATCAGGGGACTGAACGCTCAGGGTAATGAGATGCCCTGCCTTCTTTTACCCTTCATTTTTCCTACCCCTTTTGCCTGCAGGCCGCAGCAGAGGAGCCATCCTCTCCCAGTATTATAATCGCACCACCAGGCTGCGTCACAGGAGCAACCGTGCCCCCCTTCAGGAGGTGTCCCGCTCGGCGCGGCCTAGTGTCCGACAGCTTGATCTAGAGCTGGACTCTAGTCAGGAAGAAGAAGACAGTAAGTCTGCGCAAAGAGCTAGGAAGGGGCATTCTTGGGTATGGTTCAAAGGAGTTGAGGATCCTGAGTGGATACGTATTGTGCCCCCATCCTAGAAATTCACATGATAGGGAACAATGCCTATGATTTTCTGTATATTAGGGCTCCATGCCCAGCCAATGGTAAAGGATGGTGGGAGTTACAGTCAAATGTAGTCTGGAAGGTTGTTCATTCTCCGGTTCTCTGTACATGGCCCACCCATCCAGACGGCTCCACCATCTTTTGTCAGGATATGAGGTGGATTTCCTTGCCATAGGCAACGGGGGCTCTGTACTGTTCCAGGTAAATGATGCTTAGAAGGCTTACAGTCGCTAGCAGCTACACCCTTTCAAGAGGTCCATTTTCAAGTTCAGGTCCTTCCCTATGAGTTGTTTCCATAGCATATAAAGAAAATAGATCAACCGAGGATGCGTTATGAGTTGTTTCCATAGCATATTACAAGAAATATGCTATGGAAACAACTGCTGTCCCAGAGAGCACGCCGTTTCCTGGCTGGCCATCATCATCCCCATACGTATTTTTCATGAGGTCCAAATCAAGAGTGGAAAGAGCAAGAAAAGTCCTCCCTTTGACCCGTTTTTCTCCTGATGGCCAAAATGTCAGCTGTTGGGAAATGCAGTTCTGCCTGCCTTAGCCCTCCAACACAGGCCTGTAATCGCCCTCCGTGTGCTTCCCTCCCTAGCCAAGCGTAGCCTGCTGGTGAAAGAACTCCGGGGCCTGCCGGCGAGTCAGCGAATTAACATGCTACAAGCAATGCCGCTAAGTCTGGCCGAGAAGCGCAGGCTCAGGTCAGTGCTTTCAAGCTGTCTTAGCTTCACCTTTTCTGTTCATAAGCTCGGGTACCAGACCCAAGAGTTACACTGTGTGTGTGAGGCAAATGGGGACTCTGGCTGAACCAGCGCAGAGACCTCGTAATTCTTTCTCAAAGGGCAGATTTATGTAATGCTTTTGAATTCTTCTGTATATCTTGCCACAGGGAGGATTCAAGCGGCCATTCGGGCACCTTGAAGAAACCCAAGACCACGGCTCCTTTGTCGTTTTGCAGCCGGCTGAAATACCACATCATTCTAGTAAGCCATGAACCATACCTGCCCTCTCTAGTACAGGAATGGCGGTCAGAAACATAGCAGCTTACTCAGACTGAAGCCATGGGGTGAGGCAGTTAGACAGTTGGACTTGGTCTTGTGAGTTCCATGTTGTCGTCCCCATTTGGCCATGAGGGTCACTGGGCGGCCTTGAACCCGTGACTTGCTCTCAGCCCTGACCTGTCTCAACAAACAGAGGATAAAAATGGCAGGAACTCGTGGGTGCCTTGCACTTATTAAGGGAAAGACAGCATATAAATGTAACGAATAAAGAATTAAAGTTGGAGCATGCACTGACGTCGTTCTTCTGCCAAGGCCCACAGGAAAAAGCCCAGAAATGTTAGCTGGTTAAATTGGGAGCTCATTCCTTCCTTCCATCCACCCTCTCCTCATATCCATTTTCCCTTTCAGGGGTTCCGGAATCTCGGGTACAGCCTGCTGTCCCTCTTTCACATTCTCCAGCCTTGGCATTATTCCCTCAAGCAGATTAGCGGCCGCTTTGGATCCAGCATCCTCTCCTATTTCCTCTTTCTCAAGACTTTGGTTATGTTCAACCTCTTCTTGTTCTTGATCCTGTTGGTCTTCGTGGTTGCCATGCAGGCAGCTTACCCTCCTGACACACCCAACAGCGAAGCCTTCACAGGGCTCGACCCCTTCACTGGAGCGGTGAGTCTTCCCCCAATAAACCAGCATTCCTATAAGCCTGAGGATTTGGACTTGAGCCACAAAAGCTCACACTGAAATGTTAATAGTTAAGACTCTTAAGGAGTCGCAGCATTTTTAGAAAATTATTTAAATTACTTAATTTTGGTTTTGTCTAATATGTGGCATTCCTCTAAGTTGCTCTACAGGGCATAAAACAAAGGGGTTGTGGTCTGAATTGAATACCACGTGGATTCCTCCCCCCCCCCCAATTTCTGCTCCCACCGTGGATTCAAGAATGGCTTGTGCAACACAGCTCTTTGCTTAGCCCATGAGACATTTCTTAAAAATGCAGACAATGGTTGTCAGCTGTGAGAATATGCAAGGAAGATGGCAGTCAGAGGTGGGCAAGGCATATTTCCCTAGTTTTACCTCCCATCTTCTGCATTGTTCCCACCGCTTATGAGTTTTCCACCATGGTGGCAGGAAAAAACCCACAGAGTTTCCCTGTAAAACAAGGAACATAAGGAGCCTGTGCCTTGTTTCTAAGCAAATGGTGCTCTTGGAAACCTTCCAGAGGTGCAGGTTGGCCTTATAAACAAAACATATGCTCCCTTATGTTCATCACTTTGAAAGGAAATTCCAGGATCTCACCCCCCCCCCATTACTGCTAATACACAATAGGTAGTTTAGTGACACCAGAATGTATAATACTTTGTGGTTTCAGGGGTAAGCGGTATTCCTCCCACTCCACATAGCTCCTGTGTTTGTATCTCCCACACTCATATAAACACAGCTTGAGAAGGACTGGCGTCTGTGCAACGACTGATGGTTAATCCACAGCAAAGTATAAAACAGCTTTTAGGGTGTAGCAACATTGGGATAATTCACACATGCATAATAATCACCTGAGATTCCTGTACTGTACAATCAGGGTGCAAACCGATGCTATCAGGAAGAATTGTATTTGTGATGGTCTGAAGAGTTAGGAAAGTTGTGTGTATGTTAGCTGTGAAAAATGATTCACACAAGCAGGTGATCTCTAGCAATTAGGCTGCCTGAGTGTCAGACACACTGTCAGACACACTCCAGTCTCTGTCTCTGTGCCTCTCTCTCTCAGCATGAGATAATGCACGGAGGGAGCTGGTGCCAACTTCTCCTTTCTCTCTACAGGGCTACTTCAGTCACACATTGATGTATTATGGCTTCTACAGTAATTTCACACTGAATGACCCCTGTGGTTCCAGCTCTAACGTCACAATTTGCAGGCAGCACAGGCACATCCAAATGCCATACAGTATGCCATTGGCTTATCTGTTCGTCACTGGAGTCTCCTTCTTTGTGATGTGCATTCTACTGGTTTACAGGTGAGATGCACCTTCTGCTCACTTTGCCTGGGAAATCAGGCATATTCTTCACTTCTTTTCAGCTAAAATAGGACCAGTCCTCAGTTTTTCATAATGGTCATCACCATTTCTTATATTTGGGAAGAAAACTTTGCCCCCATTAGATTTTTGACATCTCCGTGAAATGAATAATGACGGAACCCCAAATATTTTCCTGACTATGCAAAGTAAGTTGTAATTCGGACCATGTTTTCCCTTTAGGCTGAAAGTTAAAAAAAACAAGAGGTTTGTTCCTGGAGAATGCTCATGCCTTCTGAATTAAACCTCTGCTGACTTCTATCTTATCAGCATCACTTCTGTTCTCCATTTGGGTTGCTGGGTGCTCCCCTCTGCTATTCCCCCCCTCTTCCTAGTTCGCTTGCCGAATGCCTCCCTCCTCAACATCTGCTACCTGCTCTGTTCTCACTCCCACCTCCATTCTTTTTGGTCTCACCTGGGTGACATCAACTTGCCAGGTTATGGCATTGTCCCAGTGGCTGTAAAAATAACCTTCTGGTGCTTCAAGATTGATGCATTAGCTGATGTTGGAATGGTGGTCAAGTGGGGGCAGAGTGGACGGTAAGGGCAGCCTCTGTATGTGTTCTTCTTCTTCATTCATTCTGTCCCTACCTCGGAGAACTCCAGTGAGGTTTTTTTATTTTTTTATTTTTTGTTTTCTTTAGGGTTTACCTGTTCTCCAAGTTTGTACACTGAAATGTAGAAAGTGTGTTAGGGGCTGCAGTAAGCTTGCTTCACACAGTCACTGTCAAGACTTTTTACCAGACAGTCATTAATCTGGTGGTAACAGTAAAAGTGGGAATTACTACACAGTTACCATGAAGGATCTTGCTTGAAGGACTGTTCACTAAAAACTGTTTCTCTCAGAAGCCATTGAGATTTGTGTACATGTCAGCTCACTGACATTTTCCCCCCTCACCTTGCAGCATGTCCCGCTCTTTCGGGGAGAGCTACCGTGTGGGCAGCGCATCAGGTGAGCTGGCCATTAAAGTCTTCTGTTCCTGGGACTACAAAGTGATTCAGAAGCGCTCTGTCCGACTCCAGAGTGAAAACATCTGCACTCAGCTGAAGGCAAGTGCCCAATTCAGGCTCTAGAAAAGGGAACAAGTAAACCAGATGTGAAACTTGTCTTCTAAAAGAGCCAGAATATTTGTGACTCTGAAAAATCAAATGTCTGCCTCTCCTTCTGCTTCACTGCAGCTGAAAACAGAAATCAGAAATTACAAGACAATTGTCAGCACATTCAGCAGCATTCTCTGCCCTCACAGTGCTGGCATTGCTTCAGCTTTTGTCCGTGCCAGCGTGCTCCTTCCCCCCCCCCCCAAGATCTGAAGTCTCTCCAGTCATTCCTCTCAGCAGAGTTTGGGCCACCACCTTTCCCATTTGTCTGTCATCTTGCTTGCCTTCCAAGAGGCAGCTTGGTGGCAGTTCTCTGTCTCTGCTTCTTAGGAAGCTGTGGTGCTGGCCACCTCCTCATGGACCAACCCAAGGTTTCAGTGTCATTGTTTTTGCATTCTCAGGAGTGTCTGGCTGAGCGGTGGTCCAGGTCACACCCACTGAGCTTGTGTAAGAGACTGCAGAGGCTGGCCGTGCTAGTGATGGCCTGGACTCTGGTCCTGGGCACCGTCCTGCTCTGTGTCGTTGGGGTGTACTACTTCTCTGAGTATATCCATCAGGTGAGTAGGCTGCAAGTTCAACACGGAGCCTGTTTCATGCTCGGCAGTGGCCTTGGCTCGTGGCTTGCTGGATGCCTCTCTTGGGCTCATAGAATAGCAGACCAAGGCCTGGGCCCGACTTGCAGAAGTTACATTTTTGGATTACAGCTCCGAGAATCTCTCAAGGGTTGGGAGATTCTGAGAGTGAATGATCCAAAAATTAAAATTTCAAAGTTCTGGCTGCACGGGTCATAGGAATACCTATTATTTCTGTAAGAGTTATTTTGCAAGGGTTTCTTTATGATTCATGTTTACATACAGGATGGCATTTTCCCCAGGTTTCCCCCGAGGAAAAGGCCTGTATCTGTTGGAACTCGTTCTGGCACGCAACTCGTTCCCTTCTACAAAGACTTAACTCCTCACTCACCCCAGTCCTGTTTCATGTACTTTACCACACAGCCTTTTGGATTCCTACTGTGACTGCTGCAAAGTCTGTGGTTGCTTATGTCATGGCGGTGAAGTGGCTGTGTGCATCATGGTGTCCTGTGCTTAAATCTGTTCAGTTTTCTATTTGAGTTAAATATAGGCAAATTAGCATATGTTGCAAATTAGCATATGTCGATAGTTGTTGAGAATTACTAGGCTGGATTCCTTTTAAAGATAAAGAACGGATGATTTTTCCCCCCTTCTCTTTCCCAGGTGCACCAGGAGAGGACCAGCAGCCCTGCTGGGAAGGGAGCCCTGCTCTTGGCTTTGCCTCTCCTGGTATCTCTGATTAACTTGCTCATGCCCTACATGTACAACCTTCTGGCTTCTTGGGAGAAGCAAGACTCTCCAGTCTTGGAGGTGTATGTTGCCATCTCCAGGTAACCCAAGGTCTGGGCAGGTGCCATGAAGGGGGGGGGAGATAAAGAGCAGGCTGCTGCTTCTGCCCATTGTAGGTTTTGTGTATATATAATTTCTGAAGCTGTTCAAATAACCATATGTATAAATATTTTAAATAAATATGGCCAACTACATTGGAAAGAACTTCTGTCTGTCTGTCTATCTGTCTGTCTGTGAGGGGGCAATGACTGGTTTGTGAGCTCAGTTGCCAGCCCCATTCTGGCTCAGGCCACGGGGCCGTGGGTCGGGGGTTGACGACCTCTGATATAAATGATAGAATATAATAACATTTAGCAACAATATAAATATTAATATATAAAACTGACACAACTAGTGATGAAGGCTTCTGAGAGTTGCAGTCCAAGAACACCCTGGTTGCCAAAGGTTGGGAACCACTGAAAGATGATTTGCAAATTGGTTCTCTATAGGTTCCCCAGTTTGTGACACAGAGAGACATTTACATCTCGTTAGCGGTGCAAGAGGGATTGTCCTACAGCTAGCAATGAAAGAAAGCTGGTCAGGGTTGCTGGTTCCCCTGACTTGGAAGTCAATTCCCTCACATGTGATTCTTTTCTTCTTTTCTCTCTAGGAACCTAATTCTGAAGATGGTTATTTTAGGCCTGTTGTGTTACCACTGGTTGAGTCGGAAAGTGACTTCTTCAAAAATTCAGGTCAGTGTGACCATGTGAAGACTGCTGCTGGTGCTGCCTGGCATAGCTCCAGCTATGACAGGTCCTTTGTGACTTCATCCCATTGAATCATCAGGCCAGCACACAAAAAGTGGAACAAAAGAGCTTTTCTCCCTTGTCTGTTTAGCGTGGGCGACTCTTGAGTTACTACATAGCTTCCCCTGTGACTGGTCATCATAACTGCCAGCTGGGAAAAGAGAAGAGGGCCTTTGGGAGTGTAAACATCCTTTCCTGTTGCTCAAGATGACCTCCTTAGCTTTGCTTTTGTAAAAGAGGTGGATCTCAAATCACGTCATTAAAGCAGAAGTGTTTAAATGAGACAGTGCTAATGTATCTATGGGACAGGAAGAAAGTTGCTGGGCCTTTAAGCTGCAGCAAGGGCTGGTCGGTGTTCCCTCATTCACTCGGGAGCAAATGGCACCTTTCCTCCTTCGAAGCTGAGAGGCTGAACATCCTCTGTCCGCTGGGTAGAAAGGCTGCTCTGATCAATAATGCTCCTCCCACACAGCAGAGATGGATTGAGCTCAGATCTTCGTGCTCAGGGTTTTAAGAGCAACAGCATTTTTCACCACAAGACGCATAGAAAAATACGACTCATGGGGATCTCTAGAATCAGAGTGGGGAATCTGGGATATCTTGCAGGACTTCATCTCTCATTAGCCCTAGTCAGCATCGCTGGTGGGGAGGGATTTGAGAAGCTGCATTTCAGCATTGTGTGAAGGACCACACGCTCTTTATCCCGGTCTCAGATAGGAGGCTCAGCACTTTCTCCACAAGGAAATGTGTAGTCTCTCTCTCTCTCTCTCTCTCTGTCTCTCTCTCTCTGTCTATTATTTATTTAGTATCTGCTGAGCCTGAAGAGGAGGAGGAGGAGGAGGAGGTTCAGAGATGACATCTAGCATGGCACCTAAGAACACACTTTGGTTATAAAACAGGAACAGGTGGCTGATGGTCCAGGAGTGTAACATAGCCCCAAAAGGCCAAGTCTTCTCCGCCATAATACCTCCATCTCCTTACTAAGCTCTTCCACCACTTTCTATGTGAGCTAACATCCCAGGAAAGGGCTCTTTAACCCACTTTTCTCTCATAGGAGTCATAGTGGAGACTCTGGTGGAGTTCTGCCCTTTTACATCTCACTAGGTCATCACTCCTGCGTGTAAGCCAGGAAGCCCCAGGCAAATGAAGAAGGATCTGTTTAGGGGTATAAAGGGAGATCTCAGCGGAGTCAGTTGCTGTTCGCCCCAGAGAAGAGAGCTGGAAAGAGCCCTTTGCCCGTGGTCTCCATTCATGAGAAACAGCAGGGATTGCTGGCTAAATTCAAAATGTGGGCCATACCCCAAAGTAGTGGCTAATGATTGCAGGTTACAAAGAGCTGGCAACCGCAGCAGCGAAGGTTCAAAGAAATGGGGACCGGCACACAAAGAGGAGTGGCTGGTTGTCATAGAGGATACACAAAGGAGGCAAAGAGGCTGAACAGTAACTACATAATTATTTATTTATTTATTTACTTACTTACTTACTTACTTACTTACTTACTTATATATATCCCGCCCATCTCGTCAATTGACCACTCTGGGTGGCTTTAAGAAACTATTAAGTTTCTATTCTGCCCTTCCCTCAGTGAAGTCATTGTTCTTCTCCCTATTTTATTCTCAGAGCAAGCCTGTGAGGTAGGTCAGGCTGAAAGAAAGAGCGATGAGTCCTATACATCATCAGGAGCCTCTCAATAGGTGACATTTATAACTCAGCAGGGGGACTTGAACCCTAGTCCCTTCAGTCCCAATACAACACTCTTAAATCATTATACGCAGCTTTATGACTGTTTGTCCTGCAGTCAAGGACGCTGGGGAAGTCTTTGGGGGCTAGGGGAGAAAAATGGCTCTTTGTTCTTTCTCTCTGACACACACATGGTGCTGCTGATCTTTCCACAGTGCTGGGAGACGTTCGTAGGGCAGGAGCTGTACCGCTTGGTGGTGATGGATTTCATTTTCACCCTGCTGGATACCTTCTTTGGAGAGCTGATGTGGAGGTAATATTTAAGCAACCCCTCTCTCTCCACCTACCTGCTAACAGCTGTGTTCATTGTCCAGTGCAAACACCCCCCTTTTAATACACTTCCCTTGAATAACTTGAGAGATAGTTAAAAACAAGGTAGATGTTTCTGCACCCCTTTAATGCATATCGATAGATGGAAAGAATGAAGCATTTAGTCTTTTGCAAGTTTTTATGGAGGATCTTGAGGTGCGTTGCAGATGGGTGGGAGGTTTGCCATGGATTTTAGTGGGAATGCAGATTGCATCCTTGCACTGCAATACTAAAATGTAATTCCAACAGAGTTAGTTATGCTGATATCTGCGGGAGTTGTTCAGGCATAACCATGGGTTAGGAATGGATTAGAATGTTCCTGTCCTTACCACCCCCACTAGCTCATCCCTGTGCAGCTCTGGACCAGGGCAAGCTTAGTGGATCAAATCATGTGGCAGAAACCTTCAAGGTGTGATCGGCATCTATCTCTTGCTGTTTGGCCAATAACCCATGTAAGAATAAAACGACTTTCCCTGAAAATGTAGAACGGAAAGTTATGGGAAAGAAAGGGCACTGGGGGAAAACATCTCTGTTCTCATTTCTATTTCACTGAGTGCTTATAAATTGATTAGTTTTAGCAGCGCAGTTAAAATTTGGTGACAGTCCAACTTCCTAACTCAGTCTCCATTTCTCTCTCTCTCTGCACCACTCAGGGTGATTTTGGAGAAGAAGCTGCAGAGCAAACAGAGACCTGAGTTCGACATTGCTAGAAATGTGCTGGAACTGATTTATGGACAGACCCTGACCTGGTGAGAGATTCTCCTTCTCATCCTTCAGGATTGCCTTTCCCTCTTGCCATTCTTCTTGTAGTAGGTTTGCTCATGTATCTTTGCAGGTAAAAACACTGAATGGCTGTCCAGGAAGGTTGAGGAGTTTTAGAGTGCATTTATTTGAAATACTTCTACTTGTGTTTCCTTGCAGGTGTTTGGTGGGCCCTGTAATACTCCCACATGCTGGTCTATGTCATTTGGTGTTGTCTCCAACACTGACCAGCAGGGATCTTTTCCAGCCTCTTTTAGAGTTGTCAGATCCTTAATCCTGGGACTTTTTAAAAAAAATGGGAAGCATATGTGTGCTACCACTGACCCCTGAAACAAGGATGGGAAACTTATGGCCCTCCTGGTGATATGCATGACCTTGGGCATTGAAGCTCAGTGACATCTGGAGGGCCATAGAGATCTCATCACCCCCCAGTTGCTGTTCAAAATGGAGAACTGAACAACACTAATTAGCCACTCTGAAAAATCTGTTTAAACATGAATGTCTTAACATTTTCTTGAGTGCCCTACTGAATTTTGCCTATACGTAGCTTTGTAAGTGACTTTACAAAGCTGGTCCCATTCCACCCCAAGACTTTAGGTGATGGATTCCTTACATTGTAAATGAAGGGACACTTCTTCTGATGTATCCAGAACCCCTCCTCTGAAGGGCTTTTCAGGTACATTTTCATTGAATCTGGAAACGTTGCTGAAAAATGCATTGGCAGCAGTGGCACATGCTTCCAATTCTCCATGCCTGTAAGGAAGGAGGAAGGTTGCAGCTGACACAGCGTTCATTGTCAACTCACATTCTCATGCTATCTCCAAGGGCATCCCCAAGTAAAGTAGATTGTAATATATCCTTCATGCTCACACAAACATCAGTGATATAGCGATGAACCCCAGGCTTTCCAGGAAGAAGGAACTGCTGGTGTATCATTTGGCAGTCTTCCTACAAAGCCCTGTCAGTTGGAGGAGACAAGCCCTGCAGTACAGGATCTGACAAGGTTTTTCCTTGTTTTGCTTCGTCCAAAGATTGGGATTATTTATACTGAGAGTTCTGCTGCTGTGCTCAGAATGATGGGCTGGGCAGGCCATGATTTTGCAAAGGAGTTCTGGGTCCACGGAGGTTTGACCAGTTTGGCCCCATGTCCATCTCCTTCCAGAATATTTTCTCAGGTGAGGATAACTTACAAAGTTGAGCATTTACAGGGTGCAGTGCAAATACAGAATCGAATATAAAGTTCAAACACTGACCAGTATAGGTTTGCTGCCATTTTTAAAAAAAGCAGGTCTCCTTTCCTTAATGGAATAAAGAACGGGGCTTGAAAGCATTTGGGCAGAGTCCAAATGGAAGCTCAGAAATAGAGGAGCTGATGAGTAAAAAGCTGCCAGTGACCTGGAGATGCTTCTTCAACTTTGTGTTTTAGTTTTCTTTCCCTTTCAAAAGTGCATCAGATTGCTGCCACAAATATTTGTATGCTAGGGTGGGGTAGAACAATGGGGAGAGTGAAGTGTACTCCTAGGACTGCACATGCAGGCCCATACAGCTCTTTTGTGGCTTTTATGGCCCCCAGATCCTGCAAAGTTGCCCACCCTAAGGTAGAGCCTTAGTGTCCGGTTTCACCCTGCAGCCCACAAATCTCTACTTCAAATCAATTTGGGGGTATCCGTTTCTTCCAGCGTTTGTCAAAGCCTTTCAGATTCTCTTAGAACCTGGATCTTGATTGAACTCTGAAAAAGAACTCATAGGATTTTATTTACTAAATGCATTTATGCCCTACCCTTTAGCCAAAAAGTATCACAGAGTGGTCTATAAAACACACAATGTATCGCAGTCTATCCTCAGCCTTCAAATCTAACATTTAGTACATGGCACACATGGAATTATCTATCTCCTGAGAAATCTATTCGTAGGACAAGAAGTAACAGTTAGAACTGGATATGGAACGACTGATTGGTTCAAAATTGGGAAAGGAGGACGACAAGGCTGTATATTGTTCCCCGGCTTATTTAACTTATATGCAGAATACATCATGCAAAAGGCAGGATTGGATGAATCCCAAGCCGGAATTAAGATTGCCAGAAGAAATATCAACAACCTCCGATATGCAGATGATACCACTCTGATGGCAGAAAGTGAGGAGGAATTAAAGAACCTCTTAATGAGGGCGAAAGAGGACAGCGCAAAAATGGTCTGAAACGCAACAGCAAAAAAACTAAGGTCATGGCCACTGGTTCCATCACCTCTTGGCAAATAGAAGGGGAAAATATGGAGGCAGTAACAGATTTTACTTTCTTGGGCTCCATGATCACTGCAGATGGTGACAGCAGCCATGAAATTAAAAGCCACTTGCTTCTTGGGAGGAAAGCGATGACAAACCTAGACAGCATCTTGAAAAACAGAGACATCACCTTGCCAACAAAGGTCCGCATAGTCAAAGCTATGGTTTTTCAAGTAGCAATGTATGGAAGTGAGAGCTGGACCATAAAGAAGGCTAACCGCCTAAGAATTGATGCTTTTGAATTGTGGTGCTGGAGGAGACTCTTGAGAGTCCCCTGGACTTCAAAGAGAACAAACCTATCCATTTTGAAGGAAATCAACCCTGAGTGCTCACTTGAAGGACAGATCCTGAAGCTGAGGCTCCAATACTTTGGCCATCTCATGAGAAGAGAAGACTCCCTGGAAAAAGACCCTGCTGTTGGGAAAGTGTGAGGGCAAAAGGAGAAGGGGACGATGGAGGGTAAGATGGTTGGACTGTGTCATCGAAGCGACCAACATGAATTTGACCCAACTCTGGGAGGCAGTGGAAGATGGGAGGGCCTCGCGTGCTCTGGTCCTTGGGGTCACAAAGAGTCAGACATGACTAAAAAACTAAACAAGAGCAACACACATGGAATAAGGAATGGAGGGAAGAGGAAAAAGTATTTGGTAACACCATTTAGGACATACAGTCAGTAGGCGGTGTTTATGTATCTTTGCTTGTCTATGCCAGTAGAGAGCTGCATAGGGTGAATTTCTGCTGTAGCAGTGAAAGATACTGGATTCCTCACAGGAAAGGATAACAGTGGCACCAGCCACCGTGGCAGTTCAGTCTGCCTTTACCTCTCATCTGGTCTCTCCCAGGTGGCAAGCGGTTGCAGAGTTTGGACAGTTCAGAGGCAGAATTATGTACATGGTTCAGAGGCTGAGGGCGGGTCAGCTAAGTAGCCTAACAATATCTCCCACTTCTTTTCCAGGCTGGGGGTCTTCTTTGCCCCACTTCTCCCTGTTGTCCAAATCCTCAAGTTGCTGCTTCTGTTCTATATTAAGAAGGTAATTTATCTGCCGGTCTTCAACTCTTAATGCATTTTCCATTGCAGTGAGGCAGCACACGTGGGCAAAGGGAACTATTATTGAAAGGGTTTTTGAGATATGGAACCAAGAAGTTGGGCTGGGGGTCAAGGAACACTGTCAGTTTTGTCTGGAAGATACTAAGAAGAAGGGGAAAGTGTCTCAATAGAAAACCTTGGCTAGCAGGAAATTGCATGGTCTGTACTCTTATCACTGATGAGAAACCGAGTCAGGCAAGAGGGACAACACATTTCAGATAAAGATGCATACTAAAAATGAAAAATGGCCTTGGATGGTTGTCCCACTCAAAATCACCCCCAGGTTACTATTTTGCTGTAACTTTCTAGAGGTATATTGCCAAATAGGCGCTGTAGTGGAGTAAGACATTGCTCTGGCCAGTCTTCCTCAATATCCAGCAAAGTTTCATTCAGAAGCAAGCTAGTTTCAACATCTGCATTCCTCCCATGCAGACCAGCTTGATGAGAAATTGCCAGTCTCCAAGTAAACCCTGGCGTGCATCTCACATGAGCACCATCTTCATCACCTTGCTGTGCTTCCCTTCATTCCTGGGTGCCTCTGTATTTCTCTCCTACACAATCTGGGCGTAAGTAGATTTTCTATCCAAATGTAACCTGCTGCAGTTGCATTCTTAATGTATGTTTTACAGATCTAGCAAATTAGCAGTCACTGGATCCTTCCATTGGCACGCTTCTGTAATTCTAGTTTTGTCAATAATTGTGCTTGATACAGCAGTGTTCATCCCATTCATCTTATTTTGGGCTTCTTCCTCCTGTTGTTTTACACCGGGATGGAGAACCTACCTAACAAGTCCAGTGGTAAAGGATTGTGGGAGTTCAGGTTCAAAACATTTGGTGGGCCAAAGCTTCTCCGCTCCTGGAGTCAGTGTCAAAGTCACCACATTACCAATATGGGTCATCTGTCCTGCTGTCTGAAAAGCTGATTTTCCACCTTCTATTAGTGCAGTTTAAACTGTTTGATGTTCTGTTCTGGTGTGGAGGCAAAAAACATCTGATCCAGAATTCTCTGATATGGTGAGCCTGACTCCATTCTCTCATCACAGCCTCTACTGGGGTATTAGGTTGGGAGTTTGATTCCCACCATCTGTGCCTCCTTGACAGGGTCTGGACTTGATGATCCACCGGGTCCCTTCCAGCTCTGCAGTTCTTAGATGATGATGATAAACGGAGCAGTTTTTCTTCTCTTGAAGCATCCATCTTCAACCTTACTTTCTGCATCTTGTTTACACTACAGACTGCAAACGTCTTTCCATATTGAGAAAAGTATACAGTAACTAAACTGATGGTTATTGTAGATTTTTCAGGCTGTTTGGCTGTGTTCTGGAGGTTTTTCTTCCTAACGTTTCGCCAGTCTCTGTGGCCGGCATCTTCTGTGGCCGGCATCTTTAGAAGACAGGAGTTAGAACTCTGACAGACAGAGTTCTAACTCCTGTCCTCTGAAGATGCCGGCCACAGAGACTGGCAAAACATTAGGAAGAAAAATCTCTAGAACAGCCTGAAAAACCTACAACAATCATTGGATCCCGGCTGTAAAAGCCTTTGAAAATACATATAACTAAACTACTGGGTTTTTTCAGGTGCACTGGATACACAGGCAATCATACTTCACCCAGGGGTGGGTAACTTCCTGAATACTGTATGTCGCACCAAGCCCCACCCTGGCCAAATAAATGAATAAATAACCAATCAACCAACTTTACAGGCAGCTGCACCATAATCTTGACTCCTGCTGTAACTCTCAACATTTATAGCAGTTTACAGGGAATTAGGCAGATTCATCTCTTTCAGCATGAACATTAACAATAAAAGATACTAAAAAGAATAAGAGCAAAAGTACCATGGTCTCGTAAAGACTGGCAACATTATTTTATTGTGAGTTTTTGTGGATTACAACCCACTTCCTCATGCACATGGAGTGAAATATTTAGCTTAAAATGAAATATCAGTGTGTGGCTAAATATTTCTGGCTGAAATCAGCAAAGATTTGAGATATGATGACCAAGGAAAGTCAAAGAAGAAAGTGCTAATGCAGGATTATAGTTGAATATTATGGAAACCAAAAACCGCTGCAGAAGAATGCCATAAATTTGTCGCTGACAATGAAAGCATCAAAATAATTAAAATATTTCCTTTCTCTTAATTCAGTTGTCAATCCTGCAGCCAAGAAATCAGAAGAGAAGGTAGCAATGAAGGAATTAAAAATAATATCTCTATGTAAGAATGTTACTGGAAGTCAAGACCAAGTTCATCCATACTACAGTATTCTGGGTTACTGCATGTAGGGTCTGAAGGATTGATGGTGGGAAAAAAAATGATTCGGGGGAAAATCAGTTCGTTCTAAGTATGGCGTTCAGCTGGCTGGATAGTTCAGTGGTTTAGGTATCTGGCTGCAGAGCCAGAGGTTGGGAGCTCAATTCTCCACTGTGCCTCCTGTGATGAGCAGCCTGTGTGGCCTTGGACAAGCTGCATAGTCCCAAGATGCCCCCGCCCCCCCGACGAAGGGGATGGCAAGCCACTTTTGAATATTCTCTACCTGGAAAACCCTGAAAAGGGTCGCCACGAGTCAGACTTGACTTAGTGATACTTGATTGTTATATGTTGCTGAAATAAATACTGAAAGACAGATAGGTTTGTTCTAGATCAGATCAAGCCTGAATTCGGTCTATAACCAAAAAAATAACTAAAATGAGGCACATCATGAGAAGCCAAGATTCACTGGAAAAGACAATGCTGGGAAATGTTGATGGCAACAGGAAAAGAGCAAGACTGAACATGAGGTAAATTAATTCAATAAATGATGCTACAGTCTTGAGTTTGCAAGATTCGAGCATTTCGATCACTGATTCATAGGGTTGCCATCAACCAGAAACAACTTGACAACACATAATAGGAACAACAAATATTACACTCCTGTGTCTGAGGAAATTAATTGTAATCCATGAGAACTCACAGTGAAATGAATCTGGTAATCTGTAAGGTGCCAAAGTATTTTTGTTTTCATGATACATGTCAAAATTTGTCAGCCTTTGCTATGGTTCCTTCCACAGCTGTCATTGAAATGTTTGGACTCAATCTATGTGTCAAATATAAATATCCTCTTTTTGACTAGTTCTTTGATGCTGGGCTGTTCTTTGTCCTTTCAGTGTGAGACCCTCAGAAATATGTGGGCCTTTTAGAACACGTGATACCATCTATGATTCTGGGAAAATGTGGGTACTTGAACTAGAGCAATCCAGCCCGAATATCACCTGGTTTACCTGGATCCACCAGCACCTGATCCAAAATACCTTCTTCCTGTTTCTTATCGCTGGAATTCTGCTGTAAGTTGGAAATACTCCATTATTAGTTTATATGTAGACAGCCACAGGTACCATGCTCCACATAACCCAGCACATACACAGTAGTATGAAAAAAAACCACAGTGTCTACAAGGTACAGAATTCACCTGCATTGGTCATTTAATAACAACAAAAGCTGTGTGTGCGCAGCTCCCGGGTTCAGCACCAGAGGAGGCAGGGAACTGTTCTGTTCAATAAAAATGGCCGATGGTGTCTGTTGGGAGGCACTTCCTTTATAAAGCTGGAGTCACTCAGAAGATGCTCCTAATGTGACTTGCTAAAACAAATGTTTAAAATTGGTGATATAGGAAATGTTAAAGGTAAATAAAGGGTACATTTACATATTTTAATCTGTTCTGTGATATGGATGGTACCATAGCCTGAGTCGGGCAGAAGATAGACTGGGATTGTCACAATATCCTGGGCAGAGTATATGCTCAGAGAACTCCTCATTCTGCCATTCTCTTTGTATGTATCTGTCTTTTTGAGGTGCTATGATGTGCCGGGCTCAGGCTGGTGGATTCAAGGCTCTAGTGAAGAACAAAATAGATCCCATAAGCCTGAACTCTTCACAGTCCTGTCATAGGCTGTTCCTAAAAGACAGAATTGTCACTACATGAAGTAGTTGCAATGTAATCATACAGGCATGAGTATTCTGGGCTGCTCCATGTCCAGGTAAGCCTGCTTAATTGAAAATGCATCTTGTACAGCATAGCAGCTGAGCCACCAAGATACATACTTGCAGCACTAAACAACATTGTATTCTTGCAGCCATGGGATTGCTGTCCACTCTGATCTCTGTACAGTGGTGCCTCGCATTGCGACGTTAATTCATTCCGCAAAAATCGCTGCAGAACGAAAACGTCGCTATGCGATATTAAAAAGCCCATAGAAACGCATTAAAAAACAATTAATGCATTCCTATGGGCTTAAAACTCACCGTTCAGCGAAGATCCTCCATAGCGCGGCCATTTTCGCTGCCTCTTAAGCGAGGAATCTGTACCTAAACACTGCGGGCGGCCATTTTGTTTACCTGGTGGCCATTTTTAAACCGCCAATGAGCTGTTTTAAAATCGTCGCTCTGCGACGCTCGGTTCCTGAAGCAGGGAACCGAGCATCGCAAAGGGAAATTCCCCCATAGGGAACATCGCAAAGCGATTGCTTTTGCGATCGCAAAAAATGTGTCGCAAAGCGATTTCATCACTAAACTGAGCGATCGCTATGCGAGGCACCACTGTATGACAAATATAGCATGAAGCACTCCTGTTAGGAATCCATTCAGCAGCTGTGCTGCATACATTGTTCTTCTGAGCATTTGTTGCTCAGACTGATATTTCATCTGCCATCCCTTATGATTTTGCAGAGCTGTTATCTACCTCAACATTCAAGTGGTGAAGGGTCAGCGGAGAATCATCACTCTCCTAAAAGAGCAAATTGCCAATGTGAGTTCTAGTGTGTATGTGCATCTGTGTGCTGTCTAAAGATGGGCTTTGATCTTGAAAGGGCTAATCGTCTTATACTGGCCAGATAGTGTACTTGTTGGCAAGAGGAGATTACCAGTAACTTTTAGGTCATATGTATCTCGCATGCAATGAAACAAAGTTTTGTGCAACCCAAAGTCAAAGCAGGGGCTCTTTAATTCGTGGGAATTTGCTGCTGGTGGTGACATCACTCCTGCTGGACAACAGGAATTAGACCATAATTTAAATGTTGCAGATAGGGAGAGCTGCCAGAAATAAAATAAAAAGGGCTGCGTTCTTTTACAGCAGGACCCCTACTAGCTGTGATGGCAAAGAACCTCCCAGGTATTAAATAAAATTAATCCCTTCCAGCAGACTCTGGCAGCACAGGGGGGAAAGCAAGTGGTCAGAGAAGGCATTAATTTTAATATTTTAATTCATTGCCACCATCATCTGTACTTGTTCTTTCAAAAGAGACATCTTCCTGCTGCTTAGCTTAAATATCTCTTAATATTCCAGGAAGGAGAAGATAAGATGTTTCTCATCCAGAAGCTCCATTCTGTATATGGGAAATGAAAGCCTGGCAGCTAAAGTCCAACTCTGCAGTAATGTTCTGAGGAGCAGAACATTCATTTCCCACCTGTCTCCTGTGGTTGACCTTCTGTCTTTTTTCTGTTTACAAGATTTCACAAGAACCTCATCCACTTTCAGTTGAAGAACTGCTGTTCTTAGCACTTAATGGTAATTTCACACCCCACAGAGAGAAGAGTGAATTTTTTTTCAGTCAAATCAAAGCATTCCTAAACTACGTGAATAATCAAGAAGTGGATATTGTAAAATAGAGAACCAACCAGAGGGAATAATGGTATAATTGTTCTTGAACTTCCTATAAAAGATTTCATCATCATGGGACTGCAGTAAAAACACTGCAAGAAGATAACTGGCATCATGTCTTTCATCAGGAAAATCACCATTTGATGCTATTAAAAATAATTGGGTTCCTCCCCATTATTTTTTTTCAATTCTTGAATGACATTGAATGTTTATCACTGTTTGTAAAGATCTTATGAAGATACCATAGATTATCACAATCTAGAGGTCTCTGAGTATCTTAATCCATGGCTCTGAATAGAATTGCACTTCACCACTGAATGCTTTTCATTTGTAGAGGAAATCCAAGCCCTTTGACATTTCATGTCTTCCTGTATGCTGAGTTTAGCAGGAAAAGCTAATTTCTTCTGTCAGTCTGAGGTGATGAATAATAGAATCTCTATCATGCCCATCATCTCTCACCAGCTCTCACGCACTTCCAGGCACTATTATGAAACCTTTATTTCCTTTGTAAAATGTCAAGATGTGGAGCTTGCATCCATAAGGGGAGATGAGTTTCAGAAAGGCTGCTTTCCTGTGGTAGTGGAAGGGCAAAAGCGTGGGGGGACTCAAAATACCTCTTCCACTGCCAGTAATTAAGCATTAGGAGAGGTATTCTGACTAGAGATGGGAGTATTTGTATACGAATACCCCCTCACAGATGGACATGAGGGGTGAGCTTCGCGCTCCCTTCCTATTGCTCCGGAGCCACAGTCTGCAAGCTACTCCTGGCAGGAGGACGAGCCTCGCTGCAAGGTCAAAGAGTGGCTCACAGACCACGAGCTCCAGAGCGATAGGAAGGGAGCGCGGAGTTCGCGGCAACAGCGGAAGGTGAGTGGACGGTCCGGCCCCGGGGGGGGGGGCTGGGCCCTCGTCATGTCCACCTGTGCGAGGGTATTCATATACGAATACCCCCATCTCTAATTCTGAGCTTTGAGAATGGCGATGTGAGGGAGACATATAAAAGCTGTAAAAGCACCAAAGGATATCATCCTGGGGAAGGGAACATTGAGTTGCAGGTACAGACCCAGGGGCTGAGAATCCTGCAAAATCCTTATATTCTCAGAGGTATAAAAACTGATATCGCTCAATAGTAAGGGAACTAGTCTGTGCTTGTTCAGAAGTGTTCTTCCCTTTCACTTCACATGTTTCAGATTTGAACCTTGGTAAACTAGAATACAAAAAGTCCAGGTGATAATAAGAAAAAGATGCTATGGTACATGTGTGGGTCATGGTGACAAAATTAAAACCTGACTGCTTTGTCACCTATATAGATATGAGTGATAGAAGGATCACACATTTTTCTTGTTCTTCCAGATCCAGCATTGACTGGCCCAGGGACTGGCTTAAGAACTATTTCTCTCAAGTACAGTCCTTTTAGTCCAACATCATGCCCCACATAGCAGCCAGCCCTGTTTTTATTTTTCAAATATATAGCTTTCCTATTTGGTTGGAGAGGTCCCTAGAAGACTGTGGTGTGTGTGGAAAGCTCACAACTCAGACGTGAAAGCCACCCAATACTGACTGGCCACAGAATCGAGCGCTGACATGTATTGCCTTAGAAGGTGGGGCTTTCAGTTAGATGTTATGTTCAGTGATCTCTGTAATTACTTTTAAAGTCCTTCTAATCACGTGTACACACCCTGTAGTAAATCAATTCTGCAGTTTACAGGATTTGCGGAGTGGGGGGAAAGGACCTGACAATGATTTCATTGATTAACCTTTCAGGCCTTCTTGCAGCCTAAACTGAGCTCTTAATTCCATGCAGAAGCCTTACCTTCTATTGAGTTCCATGGAGCTCTCTTGTAGTTTTAGATGTTTGAACTAAAGACTAATTAAATGATAATCTGGAATAAGATCTCTTGTAGGAGGGCCAGAAAGTTCTTCCTCTGCTGCTAGATTTTTATCACTGGGTAGATATGCCACAGATAAGTCACAGCTATGCTAGAATCCTGGATTTTTCCACCGATTCTAACAGGAAGCCAATTTCTGCTGGTTAGAGAGAAAAACTATTGAAACCAGGCCGGTACCTTTAGGCTTTTCCAGAAGGCTTCTCATGCTGGCAGTTAGTAGGCACTTTGTACTGCTGTTCTGCTCTTTTGCTGCTTTATACACTTTCCATACTAAGAAACATAATACAGAAGCAGTGGGAAAAGTGGAGGGTGATATGATGAGCAGCCCCTGTAAAATCCAATGAGTGAGGCAGGGTGATGGTATCGCACGAACCTTTTGGAACTATTTATCTCCAGACAATACTACTTTCTATGGTCCAGGTTCCAAGAAACTGGTGGGGCAGTTGTTGAACTAGATGGGAGATGACTGGCACAGAAAATCACAGTGGGGGTTGGGGAGAATTCCTTATATTTTTATGAATGTTTATTTGAAGTATATATTTTGAAGGGAAGATTCACCAGCTTCTAATGTGACACATACACCAGCTGTCACATTTCAAGGTAAGTGGACACATAATATTGCAACTACACAGCAAGAAAAAAGCAAATTGACCCCTTGTGAATTTTCACCTCAAAAGGAGTTTCCCAGGGTAAATTCAGGGTAACTATATATGGAAGAAAGGAGGAAATTGGCAAACAGTCTGATTCGCAGGAGGCATAGCTACTAGCTTAATAAGATGTAAAAAAGAACTGAGAGGCAATTTCCTACTCTTTCTTTCTCTTTGTCCTAATCACTGCTCCTGAGGTTTTAACACTGTTCCCCAAGTTACCATAGCACTGTACCAAACCACTGGCACCCCTGCACATACTTTTCTGCACCATCCACGTGATCACACTGCCTGAATAGATATGAATGAATCCAATATTTTAAAAAGTTGAACTCCTAGCAGCAGAGGAAAAAACTATGGATTTAGGGAGAAAAGTTCAGGCTAATTTGCACTGGCTTTTACATCAATGGAAAAAAGTATGGACTGAATCATCCCAATCCCATATTCTATATCAATGGAGTCACACTTGTACTAATGCTACTAGCACAGCCCAAACAAATTACAATGTTCTCTTGCTTGTAAATTGATGAAATTATGACTTTTGAACCAAACTCAAAGCAGAGAAAATTTAAAACTAAGGCAACAGTATTAATTTTAGGTTCTTGAGAGGGATGCCCGTGAGCAGGATACCTTTAATAGCCCACTTCCTCTTGCTATAGTCACACCCAAACTTGGATGTTCTGAACAAATCACTAACATTGCATTCCTGTGCATCTCACATGGAAGCCCTGCTGGATTCAATGAGACTTCTAAGTACAGTACACATGTAGAGAATTGTGCTGTTAGAATTGCTTTATGGAGCAAGTAGGTCTTGGCTTCAGAAAAAAGAATGCTTGCTATAGTTGTTTTAAGTGACTAGTGACTAACTGAGGTGCTAACAGAGGCTCCAAGTGAAAAAATGACCCAACAACATGAACAAAACAGAATTGTTCTTGGATTTTCAGCAAATGCTGTGTCTCTGAATGAAGACAGGGCTTTTGTTATTTACTGAGCACCAGACCTGTAATTATTTAAATCTCCATCTGGGCATGGTTGTAGTTTCCATGGGTACCTACCACAAGTCAAGAGATCTGAATAATAAAAGGCTAATGGATCTGTTAATACTGTAGAAGAAAAAACTGGGAGGGATAAGAGGATTAAATATGTAAGGAAGGAAAGGAGACTGAAAAGAGCAGAGAGAGACCAAAGGGTGGTAAAGTATACAGTGGTGCCTCGCAAGACGAATGCCTCACGGAACAAAAAAAATGGTTTTTTCGATTGTTATGGTGCCTCGCAAGACGGCTTCTTCTATGGCCGTGCTTCACAAGGCGATTCCCCCCCCCCCGAGACCAATGCCTCACAAGATGAAAAATTTTGTCTTGTGAGGTTCCCATAGGAATGCATTGCCACTTTTCGCAAGATGATTTTTTTTCGCAAGACAGCGCTTCTCACAGAACCAATTACATTCATCTTGTGAGGCACCACTGTATAAAGAAACATGAGTGTAGTTATCATTTTGCTCCTTCAAACATTCTCAGGCTAATTGGCTTGTTGAGAATACTGGCTCACTGAATCCTTTGCAGTTGAACTCATTTACTGCACCCCTGCTCTGTCCAATTTTGCTACTTCCACGTGGCCAGTTTGATGGGCCAGCAGCTAATAATGTAACTCACAAAAGAATTTGGCAGAAAACGAGTTTCATTTTATGTACAAAATATGCCCTTGACACAGAGCCACAAATATGTAACAGAACTGTATCTTTATACAATATTGCTCTTAGAATGTTGAGAAGTTACATTGTCCTCATAACAAAATGCTACGGTTTTGGATCCCAAGGAACAACTGTGCATTCCACACAAAAAGGGTCATGCAAAGAAGCTCTAAGCTGCAGAGATGTTAAACCAGCATTGAACCTAATGGGCAGTTGAATTGCATTGCTCTAAAAAATGTGTAACCAGATAGTGTTGGTGTTTCCTCCCACAGAAGTGTTCTCCTGCTACATTATAAAGGCTTCTCAACATGCCAAACAAAACATACATTGTACTGAATAATTTAAATATGGAAATACATACTTTCAGGTTAAAACTATATCAGGTTTGTGGCCGCAACCTTGTTCCCTCTGCCCGCAGGGGGTGTACATTTTGTCTGCTGTCACTTCTTCATTCACATCTCCAGCTAACAAGTTCAGTTACCTTTGCCTAGCTGTCTTCTGCTTCTTGTCCCATTAAATTCCCTGAGTTGAAGAGCTGTCTGTCTCCAATGGCTAGAAAAGTTCCATCTTAACCACGCAAGGTGGAATGAAACCACTGCAACACATTGGCTAAGCCAGTGCCCACACGTGCACTGGTCTCCACCACAGTGATGGGCTGTTTGGCAAAGGCAACGATGTCCTGCATTCGGAATAATGACTTCATCTCCACCAAGGACATGTAGCAGGGGAGGTCACTAGAGCCAGAGAGAACAGAAGAGAAAACAGCCATACACTTTCATTCGTCTACTGAGCTGTTCCCCAAAAGCAGCCCCAGAGCAAAACCTTGTGAGGTACTTTTTCCCCTAATTTTGGGGTTGACCTGGCTACCAATAATCTCTAATGCCCACCAAAACCCTTCTCCTGAATCTCATTTTTCCTGCATAAGAATTCAAGTTAAACATTTCTTACATCTTGTTGAAAATAATGAGGACAGGAACTGATGCCAACTGTTCAGCAGAAAGGAGTGACAATAGTTGGACACAGGAGGAGGAAATCTGAGTAGGCTTGGCAGCATCAATCATATACTGTGAGAGAAAGAAAGACAGAGACAAATGGGGTCAAGTGTGAGAAGGGAGAGGCCCTTTGCCCAAGTACCCAGTCTTTCCAGTACAGTACTGTTCATACCCCAGGGAAAAGACAGGAAACAGGCACAAATCCTTCTAACTGATATGCCCCAGCCTACAGCTTGCCTGGCCATTTCTAGGATCAGAGTGAGTTTCCTAAAAGGATGAAGTTCATCCTGAAACCAATATAGTGGAAGGCAAGTATAAGTATTAGCAACAGCAGCTCAGAATACTGTACTGTGTACAATAGAACAGCATTGTACAATGAATCCTGCCCACAAGAGCTTGTACTTAACTCTATTAAGTATGAGGCTGAAACAATCACAAAGGTTGGAGTGAAAAACAAACAAACCCTTATATCGCCTTCTGACCTACTGAATTATACACAGTATATGAACAGGGCACTCACCAGGATGCAACAGCAGTCACTATAGTAACTGGGCCAGATGGGGCCCATGCATCCCCCCAGTTCTCGAATGGTGATCTTCTTTCCTAGCAGAAGGTCAGTAAGGTTTGTGCCTACCTGCAAAAGGATGGCGATCAATTAAGGTTTACACACACCACAGTTCAGTCAAGAGGACAGAGCATAAATTAAGGCTTGGCAGGAGTACAAGGTCTGATTGTGAGCTTTTTCCAACAAAAGGTTCACCATAGTTTAAAGAAATGCAACTACTCTATTCATAGTTGTAATTTTCAAAGTAGCAGCCATGTTAGTCTGTGCAAGCATATCAGACAGCAAAACTACTTTTTAAAAAAATGATAAAACATCACTTTAAATGTGAGTTTTGTAGATGTAGTCCATTTCCTTTCATGGATCTAGTCCATTTCCTATAAGAGTTAGTCTATATGACAGTCCTGTTTATACCTGGCCCTATGACCAGGTGGCAATACAGAAAATGGAGAAGGGGACAATGGTTCATTAGTAAAGTAACAGGCTGTCAGATTGTGAATTGCACAGTTGACACAAATTGCCAACTGGGTGAATATGTGGCATTTCACGATTGATAATGACCTAAGAACTCTTGACTGATACAGTATTTAGTCCTTTCAAATGGGTCTCCAAGCATCCATATATACATTTTGTTTGAACAAAAACAATATAAAACAAGGTTTCAAAAGGAAACAGTTGAAATAAAGTATACGGCATATGGATGCTGGAAACTCTCTTAAAAGCCTGAATATTAATCAAGGGCTCTTAACTCATTTACCAAGTGTGAAATGGCACACTGATTCACATAATTTGCAACTTGCGTCAACTCTGCTATAAGCATAGAGTTCGAGTTAGCAGTAGCATGGAGCCTACTGACTCTGTGTTTCACACCACAGAAAATTAAAATATAATGTTTAAATCTCTCTCAGGTTTAAGTTGCAACATTTGTATCTTGTGTAGAAAGCTCTGAGAAGCTCATACCTAATCTGGTGTCCTCAAGCTATCCTGTGTTCGGTTCATAAAAATACAAACTTTTACAGAACCTTTACAACAGACTTAACCCACTGTGAGCAATGTGGATTACAACCCACTTCTTAAGGCACATTGTGTACCACATTTCTGCCTTTTCTCCTGATGCTTGGCTCCCCTAAACTGAAGTAACATGAACACTGAAAAAAAAAGACAGTTTAGGAGGGAATACAGCAACTGTTTGCCATATATAACAACATGGTAAACACTGGAGAGGTCCTTTGCATGGAAAGAACTTTGTCGTCCCTTCCTAAGCCGCTTCTACAGACCTAGACACCCAAAACAAGGACAAGAAAGGCCATACCGTAGGGAGCGTAGCCGGTGGTTCACCAAGGTCCTTGGCACCATCTTTGGAGCTCAGCTGTGCAAGGGAAGGCTGTTAAGGAAAGTGGTGCTGGGATTATGGGTAGATTTCAACACAATACCGCAAATGTTGGGCCTGAGAGGCAGAACAAGAAGTTTGAGCAACCTCTGGACCACATTCCAAAGAAATCCCTTCCCGCCCGTTCCCCAACCTCAGACTATGTTGGGAGAGAGCTGAGTATGGAAGTATCTGGGCCATAAGGCTCTCTCGCTCTCTCTTTCCTTGCAGGAACTGAGCCACAGGCTCAGCCACCTTCTCTCATCATGGGAAGCCCTTGCAGGGCCCATTTCGTACCTGCCCCCCAACCCCCACCCCGCAGGGTCAAGCATGAAGGGACAAACACACTCCTCAACAGTGAGCCAAGAGAGTAATATGTGGACTTCTTCCCTAAAGTCGGGCTGCGGGACTTTCCCAGAAGCCCCCTCCAGCCCTGCCAATGGCAAGGGATTGTGTGAGTTGTAGTCCAAAACATTTTGCATACCACCCTTCTCCTCAGGGGTCCTGAGGGGTCTCTTCTCCTGCCGGCATTGCCAATAAGGGTGGGCAACCTTTGGACCTCAACGTTTTTTTTTAAACTACAACTCCCACCATCCCTTAGCATTGACACTGCTGGAGGGGGCCTTCTGGGAATTGAACTCCTAAAGATCAGGCGGTCCCCAAGGTTGCCCACACCGGTTCTACCCTCTTCCCCTCTTTGAGCCGCGGCAACTCCCTTCGTGGACCTCCCTGCCCCTGAGCTTCGCGGCCCTCCGTCCCCCCCCCACTCCTTGAGCGGCGATGCGCGGGATATTCTGCAGCCGCTTGACCAGGAGGGTCTTCCCCACCCCCGAGCTCCCAAGAAGCAGGCACGTCGAACTACAGCGCCCAGCCATTCTCACCACAACCGGCCGGATTCGGGGGCGGGGGGGAGGCGCCGCCTTTCTCACGCATTCATTGGCTTTGGAACTCCGGAGTGACCAGCGTTCTCCGCTACGCCCCGACCAATCGCCAACGTGTGCCGCCGGAAGGCCCGCCTTCGCACCGAGCGGAAGCCGGAAGTTAAGGCCTAGGCTGCGGAAACGGGTTCGAGGCGGAAGCGGGGCAGCAGTCGGTCGTACCTGTCTTGAGCGGGGAGCGCCATGGGGCGAGGCGGTGGGACCTTCGAGCGACTTCTAGGTATTGGGAGGAGAACGGGAGCCCTGGGAGCAGCCCTTGCCCCCGACCCTCTCTTTAGTCCCCGCCCTTTCCTTTAAGGCCGCCCCCCCCTTGGCCGAGGTTTCTCGTTCTCCCTCCTTTTTCTTCCTTCCTGAGGCTCTTCCAAAGCCCCCAACCGGCGGCTCTTTTGGGCCGGTGCTTCCCCTCTATTTTGGGGAGCCGTTTCTGTTGCGCCTGAAGCCACACGAGGCTTCGAAAAGCGATCCAGATCTTGTTTACAGCCCGTCCGTCATCATCCCTTATGTTGCTCTCCTGGGAGCAGTTGGGACACAAAGCGCTCTGCTGCCCGGCGAAGCCTCCGACCTGAAAGGGGTGACGAAGCCTGCCTTGCCCAAGCGCCTGCCATCCATCCTCACGGTGGATTGTAGCTCCAGAATGGCATCGGTTTCCCCTTTTTTTCCCCGGCCGTCCGGATTGGGCATTTCTAAACGTTCGCTTTTATCTAAACGTGGTAAAGTTTTCCATTCTAGGTTATTTAGTGGCAAACGGAATTTATTACTGGGGCAAGGTGGTTTGTTTGAGAATTCACTAGTCCAGCCCATTTTAAATTATTTCTTTTCCTTGAAGAAAAAAAAAGGAGGGGGGATAATTGTTGACCAGCCTATTTTGCAGTAGTGATGATCTCACTACGCTACTAAAATCAGGCTCTGCAGGGTGACTTAACTATGAGGAAATGCCAGGTCATGTACAGAAGTGACGCTGAGTCAGGCGAGAACATGGTGTACATTAGGGCAAATGTCATAAGGAAAAAGTTTGAGGTTTATCAGCTCAGATGTGGAGTGTCAACAAAATGAGATTTCTTGAGGTAAAGAGATCAGTGAATGACAGCATGTGTTATTGTTTCTGTGTGCTATATTTAAAAATGAAGCTTTGATTATCATTGCAAAGAGGAACTTTGGCCTCATGAAGCTTTCTGTATAAATTACAAGAATGGAATGAAAGTTGGTGAGGGCAAGATCAGGTGGACAAAGAATGACCATATACTAATGGTTAATAATTAGACTTTGCTATATGTATGGGTGTAAAAATACTACATTAACGATAATGTAATAGTGGAAGAATTTTTTGGGGGGGGAATGGATGTGATACTAGGAAGATGCTTCTCCCTGAAAGCTTCCTGCCCTGAGAAAATTGCAGTTTTAATGTTTCTAATAACAGGAATTGTGCACATAAAATGCTTCAGCCTTCAGAAGGTGCAGTGAAGAAAAGATATGATTATTTAAGGGAGCAGAAGAGCTGAGATTAAACAAAGGAAAGATAGAAGGACAGAGGTTATGGTTAGGCCCACTTGTCAACACCACAGTGACTATGTTGTTGGAGGAAAATGAGGCTCCTCCAGCACTTGTAAGTAGCAGGCAGTAAATTATTGTAGAGAAGTAACACAGTGACATAACAAAACAGCCTGACATTGTCAGTAATTTCTACTAGCAAATTCATTCACAGAACAAATGTTCAAAATCTGACAGATTTCCTCTATTGTCCACAGCAAACACAATTATAGGGATTGACCTGAAAGCTAATTATTATTTTCATGTCTTGCAGATAAAGCTACCAGTCAACTTTTGCTGGAGACAGACTGGGAATCCATCCTACAGATTTGTGATATGATTCGTCAGGGTGATACCCAGTAAGTGCCAGGACCTGTAGTGATCTTTACATTCTCCATTCTCTGTGTGTGCTACTTTTTCTCATTTTTCCTTAATTACTCTTTGTGATAAGATTAACTGAGCTTGTGTGTGTCTTGCTCAGAGGTCAGTGCAGAAACTGCTCAGAATTCAGTGCAGCTTAGTATATGGAGGGTATATCTTTTGATCATCCACAAATTTTTCAGAAGACAAGGTCATTTTGGCTGATCAAATGAGTCGTCTGTGAATAGCAGTTTGTTGAAGTCTAGCGAATCTCACTGTATTCATTCACAGAACAAATGTTAATGACAAGTATTATCTTCTACATCCACTCAGCTTTGTTGCTGAGCAGACTTGCAACTTTTCACAGTGAAATCAAACATTCTTGCTACTTAACTACGCTGTATCTCTATGAGCTTGCTCATCTTTAAATGCCCTCAGGCCTATCAAATGAGCAACCTATTCGTGCACTCTAAATGCTGTCTAGAAATCAGTGCATTATATTATCTGAGCACTCACAATTTTTTCAGAAGACAAGATTAGCAAATCAAAGGAGCCATCTGTGAATAGCAGTTTGTTGATATTTAAAGTGTAACAAATCTAAATTATTAATTAACAGAACAAGCGTTCAAAGCAAGTGTTATTTCCTAGACTCTTGTGAAGAAGAAATGCTTTTTTGGCTTCCTTTACTAAGCATGCACATTTTGTGAGTGCCGGTAATGTGTACACTTTGTGTAACTGAAGAATGACAGTAGGGTCCTTGCAGGATCTCACTTACCTGAAATGGTGTTCTCTGCTTTTTGTTTTCCAGGGCTAAATATGCTGTGGGTGCAATAAAGAAGAAAGTCAATGACAAGAATCCTCATGTGGCTCTCTATGCACTGGAGGTAACCTTAAATGATTATGAACTCCTCAGCATATAATCTGTCTCTGGAGTTTCCAGGAAGTTGTCTTTTCTCATGCCTGTAAGACAGGCTACTAGTACACCTTTTCTCAGAGAAGGAGGAACAGACTTTATGCTGCTGCTGCTGCTGCTCTTTGGAGAGTTAATCAGGGATTGTGCATACTCTTGTGTGTTTCCCACATAGGTCTTGGAATCTGTGGTGAAGAACTGTGGTCAAACAGTCCACGATGAAGTGGCTAACAAACAGACCATGGAGGAGTTGAAGGAATTGCTGAAGGTAACATGGACCATTTCCCCTCCCTGTTAAGTATTCAGGGGTGCCTCAGGAACAGATGATGTAGCAGTATAGCACTGCTTCTATGGGATTTGGATAAGCTCTGTACAGGCCAAAGGGATTTTCTTTACACAAGGTTAAGTTGGTCAAAAGAATATGTTACAAGTAGAACAATATATTTACAAGAAGCCTCGATATGTTCATGACCAGACAGTGCAATGGTAAAGCTACTGAGGGCCATAATGGAAAGGTAAGTGTAATGCCTTCTGATCATATTGCTTTTTCTTTCAATTTAAGCTACAATATTATTGAACCGCTTGAAAAATAAAACATGATCATAAAACAAGTCTCACCAGAAATTTATCATGAAATAAACCAGTGCCTCAGTGGTAAAGCATATGGTTCATTTAACAGACAGACTTGTCCAGGTTGGCTGGCGCTGCCTCCTGTCTGAAACCTTGGAGAGCTGGTGTGAATAGGCAACTCTATGTTTAAAGGACTAGTGGCTGCCTTGACATAAAGCTGCTTCACATGCTTAGGGACAGGTGATTTTATTTAGATTGTTTCATCCAGCTGTTTGGCTCCTAGTGCTTGAGTTGCTTGTGAGTGAGGCCTGCTGCCCTCTCAGTCCTTATCTGCAAAGGATGGTGAGGTAAGAATAGGCTCTCATCTTTTGAGGAGAGAATGTGTTCCCATCTGCCCCTTCAACAGTATCTAGATGGTTTCCCAGTGACAAGTGAAGGGAGTGTCTTTATCAAGAAGTCAGTGCTAGCCTCATGTTTTTGGTGATATCCTTCCGGCATGTTACTTAACAAGAACCTCAAAGGAGTGTAAACACAGACGGATTTAAAAAGAATGTTTTCACCCAACCACTAGTTGTATCAGGCACAGGTTTCTTCCTGAGCAAGGCACCATTGAGAAGAAAAGTTTTCTTGGCCCCCATAGATATAGGCATTGCTTGGTGGGACAGAATTGAAGTTGAGGTTCTGCTACTAAATGGATTGAGGCACTTCTGAGTCTTTTCCCAAATGAGTTCTGCTTGTGCTGTTTCTAATGACGATTGTGGGTTCATTGCTCATGGGAGCCATGCCCGATCCTGACTGTTTCTGTTTCCACAGAGACAGGTTGAGGCTAACGTTCGTAACAAGATCCTGTACTTGATCCAGGCATGGGCGCATGCCTTTCGCAATGAGCCCAAGTACAAGGTGGTGCAGGACACTTACCAGATCATGAAGGTAGAAGGTAAAGAAAGATGAGCTTTTTTCTTGCGATACGAAGTTTGGGGCTGGGTAGAGTGGGAATAAGCTGTGTATATCCATTTGGGCTTCTGAGGAACTACAAGGACTTTTTTTTCATGGGGTTACTGGTGTTCAAGTGCTATAGCAATTCTGGTTGCTGTATTCTGCCAAAGCGTTGGAGGCCATCTCATTTCCCAGCCCTGTTGCCTAACTGGCAGACTCCACCGACAGTCAGTATTTGGAGTGCTAGCACACTGGAGTGTAATGTCTTAAACATGATGGGCAGAGCAATAGGAAGAATAGATCCTTTTGATGCTTGCTGTTTTAAGGCAGGACTGAGGGAATTTATGGCCCTTAAGACTATCTCCCCTGTCATCTTTCACCTTTAGCTGTGTTCACTACTGCTGATTGGACTTGCAGCCAACATTCCCTCTAATTTTCATTCCTGCTGACAGGAAAAGCAATGCCTGCTTTTGAAGTAGCACAGTGAACAGGAACCATGCAGGCTGTTGTCTACGTGCAGCCCCCGCCTCTTTGTGTCATCCCTGAACCACCCTTGATTTCTCTCCAGGCATGACAGTTGGACGCCTTGTGCCTTTTATTCATTGCAGTACAAGAGTTTCATAAAAACCAGAAGTGGATTTCTGGTCTTCACTAGTTTCATTTTGGAGGACTAGTATGGTCCATGAAAAATGCCTCTGGACCCTGAGAGTTTGTCCACCTCTTGACATAACATGTCATTTTCTTAGAATCAAATCCTAAAGGAACAGTGTTTGCTGAAGCTAAAGGGGATTTCTATGTTTTTTAAAAAGCATTTCTTTTCTTGCCACATGTAATACTAGGGTGCGGGATGCAATATCAGGGTGTGAAGCAGTCAACCAGACTGTGTTCTTGTGGGGGGGGGGGCCTGTGTGGCTGAGCCATGAAATCCCCTCTGTACCATGAAATGTCATCTGTGATGGGCAGAGAGGCTGTTGTTTGTGGGTCTGTTGATGTCTTGTATGTATTTGTGCAAAAGGAGGGAGCTGAGGCTAGAATTTGCAGAGCCTTTGAGGGGTGTCTTTTAGTCCAGTGCCTGTAGTCCAGGAGAGTAACAATGCCAATCTGTCTGCAGGGCATGTTTTCCCAGAGTTCAAGGAAAGTGATGCCATGTTTGCAGCGGAGAGGGTGAGTGCCCCAACTGGGAAAGGGACACATCCTGTCCTGGGCAAGTGGTTTTGAACTTTTCTGTGGTAATTCTAACCCATCTTGACATTATTTCTGTTGCTGAGAATGTGGGCTGAATCTGTCCCCAAGGAGAAATATCTGATTAGGCATGAGATGAAAAGGAAGCAAACAAACAAGAGCACACACCACGTTCCATTTGTCCACCAGGGACTGTGAACTGGGCAGCAGAACTGCTTCTCCAGTAACTGCTTAATTTTTCATCTCCTGTTATACTTGTAGTGCAGCTCCTGCTGAGCACTCTGTACCTGTAACTGTTGTGGACTGGGACGGAGGTTCAGAGAATAGCATCCCCTCTCTTCCTCAGCACCTTCAGATTCTGTGTTTAGATGCCAGACTTGTGGGAAATCTCTTAAACAAATCCCCCTTGCCCCTTTCTTCTATGTCATGTTTGTGCCTATATTCTTCCCTGCCTGTGATCTGTTTTAGCATAGCAGTGCTCTTAGAAATGTTCATTGTGCTGCTAGAATCACTGCAGGGCTTTTGGAAGGCCCTTCAGTTACAGAGTCACTATTTTGTTTCTGTGCCACAGGCTCCTGACTGGGTAGATGCCGAGGAATGCCACCGATGCAGAGTCCAGTTTGGGGTGGTGACTCGTAAGGTGAGTGTCCTCATCACAGTCCCATACTCCTAATGTGGTAGCCTGACATAACAAGAGCCATTGTTACCAATAGCCAAGGGAACTGGAACCACCCCTTTGAGGCTTCTCATCTACTAGTGCCGGGGTGGGCAATCAGCAGAAGTTTGCGAGCCATGCATACCCACCTCTGGACCTTGGAGGGACACCCCCCCAATTGTTTCTTACAGAAGTAGGTTTTTTTGGTAAACTGAAAAGGCCTCCTTGTCCCCTCGGGAGGCAAACGTTAAATAAAAATGTGGCAGGGTGCTGGCCCCCCTCCAAACATGCCAGAATTGCTCCATTGCCAACACAGTTTAGAGTCAAAAGTGAATTTTGAATGTCCGAGGCAGGTAGAGGCCTTTGGGCCACGTCTTGCCCACGCCTGTCCTAGAAGATGGTCATTTGGAGCAAGTGACAGTGATGGGTAACTTCCCTGCTTTGTTTTGCAGCATCACTGCCGGGCATGTGGACAGATTTTCTGTGGGAAGTGCTCCTCCAAGTACTCCACCATTCCCAAATTTGGTATTGAGAAAGAGGTCCGGGTGTGTGAACCTTGCTATGAGCATCTTAATAAGTAAGTATCAGAATCTGACAGTTGGAAGATGGAGGGTTGCTGGTTCTAAAACCCAGGGAAGGATGGGTGTTCTGGCAGCTTTCCCTTCTGTATGTGTGAACTCTGGTCTGTGCACTTCCTACACCATCTGGCTCATCCTTCTGTCCTACAGAGAGCAGCTTCCAGAGGGGAAGCTAAATTGGCTTATGCCGGATTACCCTGCCAGATTTTAGCAGCCACAGCTGCTAAGAGCCTTTTGTCTTGCCCCGCCCTCCCCCTGCCTGGTCAGGAAGCCAGGAGGTGGGCAGTGGTCATGACTTCACTCCTTCTGTCTCCACCCAGGAAAGCAGAAGGCAAAGGATCTGCAAGCACAGAGCTTCCACCCGAGTACCTGACCAGCCCCCTTTCACAGCAGTCCCAGGTAAGCTCTTGGCCAACAGAGATAGAGGTGGCTTGCTACGTTCACCGTCTTTGGCTCCTCCTCGTTGCTGCAGTGATGGCTGTTGTTTCCATAGTTGCCTCCCAAGCGTGATGAAACTGCCCTGCAAGAGGAAGAGGAGCTGCAGCTGGCCATTGCACTGTCACAGTCGGAGGCAGAGGAGAAGGAAAGGCTGGTTTGTGTCTTGATGATGATGGGAGATTTCCACGGCATGAATGCTGTCTGGATCTTCCATTGTGGTCTTCTTTTAGCTAGCCAAACAGTTTCAGTAGCTCTTTTTCCCCTTATTCTGTGAGTCACACCATCCTAATTTCAAATTGCCCCAAAGCAACTGAGAGGTTTTTCTTTATGTAGAGGCATTCCTTATGACCACTCTGCTAATCAAGTGGTTGTAAGGGACCCCAAAACTAATTTCAGAAAACATCCATATTGTATTAAGGCCAGATGATTACAATGTTTGTCTAGTTTCCATACTTAGTTATCCAGTGAAGAGACCTTAAGTCTTTTGTGAACAGGATTAATCTTGTTTCATTTCTCATCCTGCACATGCCTGCGCCATAATGAGGTACTCAAGCACTGAGGGAAGTGTTGCCTGGAAGCATGCTGGCTTTTCCTTTACCTGCCAATTTGTCTCATAATGACAGGCAAGAAGAGTAGTTTGTGGCCCATTGTGCAGCCGTTTGAAGGAATTAAAAAGCAGTCCTGTATTGTCCCCTCTCTCTTCCTTTTCCTTTGCAGAGACAGAAAAACACTTATTCCACATACCCTAAGGCTGAGCCAGCGCCAATCACCTCTTCAGCTCCTCCAGTCAGCACCCTCTATTCTTCCCCTGTGGTAAGTTGCCCATCTGTCTGGAGAAACCTGCAGGCAGGGAAAATGGCCAAGTTCTTTCAGGATTAAGAACAAGAAGCTGCTATGTTTGAAGCTCCCTGATGCCATGTAGATGGCACTTTTCTACATGGCATTCTGAGTACTGTGGTGTAAGCCCAACCAAGGCCATTTAGAGTCTGGCAGTGGGAATTAGCCTCCCCTCCCTGGCATCTCTTTTGCTTGCACCTCTTCTGCTTGCACAGCCTCTTCTGCCTTCAGGCTAGAGACAGGCCCTGTTTCCAGTGTACCTCCTAAGGAGGGCTGGCTTGTGGAGATACAACTCACGGTGTCAGTTTTTGCCAGGGTGGTGAATGCAATTGTGTGTCTCGTTTCAGAACTCTTCGGCACCTCTTGCTGAGGACATCGACCCTGAGGTAAGACACACCCACCTTTTCCCGGCTCCTTTAAGTCAGTTTGCATTTGGTCTTGGTAGACCTTGACCGAGTTGTTTCCTGCCCTCTCATATTTCCTGGCAGTTGGCTCGGTACCTGAACCGTAATTACTGGGAAAAGAAACAGGAGGAAGTGCGCAAAAGCCCCACGCCTTCAGCCCCACTCTCCATGGGGGAGCCAGCCTCTCAGCCAGCTGAGGTTCAGCCTGCTGCACTTAGTGTGGTAGAGGTAAGAGTCACCTCCCTGTTCTGTCTTCTCCCACCAGTGTGTCTCTGTGATGCTGCATGAACCCCAGCCACTGCTTCTTCTTTATAGACTGGTGCTACTTGGTGAGCACCTGTTGCTGCTCACTCTTGCAGGAGCAGAAGTGTTCAGGGAAGCTTTGTCCTGAGAAGGCCAAAACGGCTGTGCATGTGCTCTCTTTTTAGAGATTTCAGTTTTCTAGGCAAAGTGAGGGAGAGGAAATCCTAGACTGTAAAAAGCCCCTTCAAAGAAGCAGTACCAGTATCGTAACCTGAAAAGAGTTAGGAATTGGGGCTTCATGTTCCTGGCTTTCCATGTCTCCTCAGCAGCAGTACCAAAACGGTGAAACCGATGAGAGCCACGAGCAGTTCCTGAAGGCCTTGCAGAATGCCGTCACCACCTTCGTCAACCGCATGAAGAGCAACCACCTGCGGGGCAGGAGCATCACCAACGACTCTGCGGTTCTCTCACTCTTTCAGTCCATCAACAGCATGCACCCTCAGCTCTTGGAGCTGCTGAACCAGCTGGATGAGCGCCGCTGTATGTTTCCAGAGCTGAAGTCTATGGGAATGGCTGTGCAGCAGTTTGGGGGGGAGGGTTCCTTTCTTTTCCCCTTGTTGAATCATGGACAGGAACTGCCTTCCTCATTTAGCTCCAAAAGGCACTAGAGTCTGCCCCTAGTTGTAGGGTTGGGGTGGGAAGAAGAGGGAGGGTGGCTTGGTGCTTGAGGCCCTTTGCTTAGGATATGACCCCCACCCCTTTTCCTTCTAGAGCAGAGGAGCTTTAGCTCCTATTGTTCCCAGGGAAGGGGGCTAAAGTGGAGCCTCTCTCCCATTCAGTGTATTATGAAGGGCTTCAGGATAAACTGGCCCAGATCCGGGATGCCCGGGGAGCCCTCAACGCTCTGAGGGAGGAGCACCGAGAAAAGCTGCGCCGTGCTGCTGAGGAGGCGGAGCGTCAGCGTCAAATCCAGCTGGCTCAGAAGCTGGAAATCATGCGGCAGAAGAAACAGGTGAGGCCTGCCCTCCCGTGTGCCCAGTGTGTGGAGGGGCAAGAATCTCTTTGACCTCCAAAGGCTAAAGCGCTCTGTGTTGTGTATTTCAACCAATTAGGAGTATCTGGAGGTGCAGCGGCAGTTGGCAATCCAGCGCCTTCAGGAACAAGAAAAGGAGCGGCAGATGCGGCTGGAGCAGCAGAAGCAGACCATCCAGATGAGGGCCCAGATGCCTGCTTTCTCCCTGCCTTATGCCCAGGTGAGAGGAGCGGAGCCGTCCAGGATTCTTTTTCGCAAACCTTTCCCCTTTATTAACTTGGCATGTACAGCAGCGGCCTGCCCACCCCCTCTAACCCTGCTTCTTGTCTTCCCAGTTGCAGGCCATGCCAGCGACCAGCGGGGTGATCTACCAGCCCTCCGGCCCTACAAGCTTCCCAGCCACCTTCAGCCCAGCAGGTTCTGTGGAAGGCTCGCCTATGCATACCGTGTACATGAGCCAGCCAGCCCAAGGCAGCACTGGGCCTTACACGGCAATGCCTGTAGCAGGAACAGGTAAGAGAAGCCTGAAAAAAGTAAAAGGGGGGGGCGCCTTGGCTATTTACTAAAAGCAGCTGAAATTGGGTGTAGGTATAATATATGGAGAAGGCAAGAGAAGGGGACGACAGAGGATGAGATGGTTAGGTACTGTCATCGAAGCAACCAACGTGAATTTGACCCAACTCTAGGGAGGCAGTGGAAGACAGGAGGGGGCCTGGCGTGCTCTGGTCCACAGGTTTACGATGAGTCGGACACGACTTAATGACTAAACAACATAGTATATGGAAGCTGGCTACGGAACCAGAGGTTTTGGGTTTGATTCTCCCCTGGGCCTCCTGGGACAAAAGCCAGGCTGTGTAGCCTTGGGCAAGCTGCCCAATCCCAGGGTGCCCCCCAGAAGAAGGGAATGGTAAATCACTCCTGGGTACTCTCCACTTGGAAAACCCTGAGAAGAGTCACCGTGAGTCAGAGTTGACTTGATGGTGTGCAGTTATTGTCACAGTATACAGACTGTGGAGTTTCCTCATTCATTCCCTCCGTTTCAGATCCCAACATGGTGAGCACCTACATGTACTCGGCGGGCACTAACAGTGGGCAGACGGCTGCACAAGGGCAGGCAGTGCCCACTACAAATCCTGCCTATTCTTCCTATCAGCCTACGCCTACCCAGGGCTATCAGGCAAGTATGATTCTGAGATCCTTTTTCTCCCAAATAACAGGATGGGGGGGACTGTTATGAGGAGAAGGGGGGGATGGTCTAACAATTCAGAGTATTGGACTAGAACTGGAGAAACCTCAAGGTTAAAATGCACTTGAGCTATGAAGCTCATCATTGCTGCCTGTGGGCTAATCATCACTTCTCTGCTTGATCAACCGTACAGGGTTGTGAGGATCAAACAGAGGAAACCATGTGTGTGGCTTTGTCTTCTTTGGCAGAAAGGCCCGGAGCAAATATTATAAAAATGAAGCTTGCTAATTTGTAAAAATTATGAGCCTTTTGTATAACTTCCTGACAGTTGGTACTTTGGAAATGAAATTCAGAATCTCTTTGCTGCCCTGTGGCTTTATCTTTATCTTGGCCCGGAACTTTATGTCTTTGCCCACCCCGTCTTTCTTTCCCTTGCAGAATGCAGCTGCCCCTTCTCAAACCCAGACCATCCCTGCCATGGCACAGGCGCCTCCTCAGTCTGGCAGCACAATGGGCTACATGGGCAATCAGTCGGTCTCTATGGGTTACCAGCCCTACAACATGCAGGTGAGAAAAATATTGTCCTTGGCTGCCTGTGTTTTCTCTGCTGTGTGGTGTGGATGTGTTGAGGGTAGGCCTGCTAGGATCGAGGGGTGGAGGGAAATGCCTAACATGCTCCAAAGTGCTCTGCCTGCTATTCAGAATGGGGACTTCTTGGACTCATGGGAGCTCAGATGAGCGAGCACATTTTTCTCTCTCCCCTCCCTGCTCCTGCTTAGAACCTCATGTCAACGCTCCCTGGCCAGGAATCGGGTTTGAATAGCCTGCCACCCCAGCAGCCTTACATGTCAGGACAACAGCCTATGTACCAACAGGTGAGTCTTCTATCAGCTCTTTCAGGGTAACAGGTTTTTCTTCTGATGTGATACTGGGCTATGGTGATATCCTGAAGTCCTCCTGTTCCAAATCCTTATGCCAGCCTAAGGAACTCATTCCCAACTGAAGGGCTGAGGTGGAAACCTTTTGGTCTGGTCATTTATGTAGTAGGGGAACTCTGTCTTCAGACGGCTCATTTTGGTAACCTCTCCAACTATGTCCTTGCAGATGGCGCCCCCTGGAGGTCCACCGCAGCAGCAGCCACCTCCCCAACAGGCTCCTACCCAGGTGCAGCAGGCACAAGGAGGGAGTGGAGAAGCTCAGCTCATTTCTTTTGACTAGTCACTTGGCTTATGAGGAAAAAGGAGGGCTGGGTCTCTAAGACATTATAACACTATCATCTCTTGGTCACTGCTGTACTTGCTACACCATTGCTGTTACCTTGCACCATCCCTGCAGTGGGGAGTGGAAAGCTGAGCCCTTGTCTTAGCTAGTCTCCCACTGGCTGTCAGTAATCCCCTGTCATGTATCCCTGTCTAAAATGCTGCTAAAAGATTCTCTGGGTAGGAGCAAAGACAGTCGTGTTTAGATACCCTTCCATGTTGCTCCTTGCCTGTGGAGGGAAAGTGGTTCGTGGGTCGACTCACCTGGCTCTGCATTAGATGGCTCGCAGAGCAAATGTTGGAGGCAGTCTCTCATATGTGCACCATTACAGGAAGCTGCTCTCTTGTGGGGAAACAGCATTTAAGCATGCTCTAGACGCAGAGTAAATGGGGGTCCAATTCACAGCATGACCTGGACCTGCCTCCTAACCCTCTCCCCAAAGTACTCTGTGGTTGCATCTTGCCAATCAAGTGGCCTTCACTCTGACAACATTCCTGCCCATGGATGAGCTCAAGAGCCCTCTGTGTCCTCCCTCAATATCTTACGAGAACCACAACCAGTCCTAGGCCTGTGTACCTCCCCTGTTCCCTTCTCTGCCCCCCCCCCCATTTACTCTCACTGCTTTTGAAAACTTGTCTCTTTTACTTAGTGGCTGGTGTAGGCCAAATGGAACCAGTGACAATTAAAACAAGTAATTTAAAACTTCAGTTTCTGCTTCCTTCTAGGTTGTGGGGCTGTCACTTTGTGGATAGGTCATTTTTTTACAGTTCAGTTAAGTTGGAACCATTGCTGCAGGAAGTGACATGAAAAGGGAAACAATCAGGGTGAAAAGAAAAAATAAAGAAGACAAAAATGTGGCACTTCCTCAGATGTCACATTTAAATGTGAGCTTTTGTGGACAAGTCCACTTCCTCAGACAAGCTCACATTAAATTAGAGTCTAAGGTGCCACAACATTTTTGTCTTTATATTTTTTTTTCCTTTTTTGTTTTTTTTTGGTCTGATATGCTAGCATAGACGTAACATGGCTCAAGCAAGAGCCACTCAGTAGCTTTGGAGTGCAGAGAAGGCTTTTCTAAACCCATGGCTCAAGCCAAATGCCTAAAAGAAATTGCAGAAACATCCATTTTAATCAGAATTTAATGGTTACATTTTCCTCTAACCACTGCCATCCTGGCTTTGGCTATCTGGTAGTTAGAGATCACATCTCCCTCCGCCGAAAGATCAGGCATTTGGTGAATTCAGGCATCTCCAGCTGAAGAGGAAGAAGAGGCCCAGAGTTAAGTGGGCATAAGCAAAATAGAAGCAGCCAGAGATATAGCAGAGCTGGGGCAAAAGAGAGTGGTAGAGTTTCCAGCTGTTTTGTTTCATTGTTCTCTGAAATATGATCAGTTGGCCTGTGCTGCTTTCTTACCATGCGTTCAAGCCGGAGAGCATTAGCGTTTGCCAGTTGCCGAAGCTCCTCCACATCTTTTAGCCCCCACTCGGGATTCCTGTCATGTAAAAGTATCCTATGTTAAGGGTTTGAACATGGAAAATTAGCTTGAAGGATTCCTGCTGCATCACCCCCAATTCATGTTTCTACATATTAAGTGTAATAGTGTGTAATTCTAAATACTTTCTAAGTTATTCTCCCACTTACATCTGGATATCTCATTGGGACATGGGGGGGTACAACAGAAAGGAATCTCAATAGAAGCTTCAAAGGGGATCATCCAGACCCCCAACGTTTGCTTACCTGGTCTGGAGCATTTTGTCAAGTTGTACATTGCTCTCTGGGATGATGATTCCATTAATGGCAAAGGGCTAGAGAGTGGAAACAGAGGATTTACACTTCGGCCACCAAAGGGATGCAGTACTCTATTCTTTGGCCAAGGATTGAGTAGAAAGAATACTAAATTAATTTGGGAAAAAGCCAGGGGCTCAGAGGAAGCACTAGATCAAAACAAGACACTTTTTAAACCAATGGAAAAAGAAAGTCTGTGTTCGGTTGAAGAAAGAGTCCAAAACAGACTTTAATTTTTGGGGGGGGCTGTACTTCCATGTGTTAGATCTCAAATCATATCACCCCTGACCATTGGCTAATTCTGACAGGAATAATTTATTTATTTGTCTTACTTATAGGCTACCTCTCTCCTGATAAAGGGACTCGAGGTGGCTTACACTCCAGTATAAAAATATTAAAATTAAAACAAGTTATACATTGAAAAACTCCAGTATACAAATACTAAAATTAAAACAAGTTATACATTGAAAAACAAAGTAAAACTAATTAAAATACACTGAATAATTACAAACACATGTTAAAACCTATCTTAACTTAATAAAAAATTTATTCAGGGACTCGGTCATGATTGTTAAAAGCCTGCCTGAATTCAGGTCTTCAGCAGCTGGCGGAAGAATAAAAGGGGGGGGGCATCCTGACCTCCCAAGGGAGGAGAGCATTCCAAAGCCTGGAAGCCGCCATAGAGAAGGCCCTCTCCCGTGTGTCCCCATCAGCTGTGCCTGTACTGGCAATGGGAGCAGGAGGAGAGCCTCCTCTGACAATCTTAAGCACCAAGAAGGCCCATATGCAGATATAATTCTTCAGATAGATTGAACCCAAGCTGTATTCATGCCCCCCCTCAACTATCAATCAACTAGTTCTCTACCCTGACTTAAGAAATAATAGTCCTAATTAGTAAGCCCCCTAGTTCTTCATGGATGCTATTTGTTTGCTACTGCTTCCTGTATTTTTCTCATTCCCCCCCCCCTATAAATTTGCACTTTATAGGCTTTATTTATGGAAAGATTTTCTATAAATGGCCCAAAGCCATTTTCCTAAGAATATCAAAAATCACTTTAAAAACCACGACAGTGACAAAAACACTAAAAAAATCTCTGTGAAATAATGTAGCCTTCCCTACCAAAACATTAAGATAAGCTACAAGTGCAAAAAAAAAGCTGTTTGAAAACCTGTTTCCCCTTCGTGCTTAGGGCATGAGGATCATCAAACAGTCCTGTGGTTGTAGCTGGGGGAATTCTGTGCCCCAGCAGGAGGCAGCAGGAAGTTCCTCAGGCTTTCCTTTCCTCCCTGAAGTCCTCAAGGAGCCCTTGCGATATTTGAGACTTAACTCGAAAGCTACACTCGGAGGACATAAGCTTCCGATCATCTTGAATACAAGATTTACATTTGGTGTAAATTGTCAAGCCTGACAGATCCGCAGTTAGGACAGATTTTCTTGTGTACTTACACCATAGGCCAAGCAAATGCCCCCAGGCTTCAACAGTTGTCCTATGCCTTTAAACATCCCCTACAACAACAACAACAAAAGGGTTAAATCAGATTAAGTGCTCGTCTTCTGCTCTTCGCTACCCACAAAAGAAGCTGACACATAGTAAGCCCAGTCCATGGACTTTATCAAGACCACTGGGATAGGTGTCCCCTGGTTTCAGTGTTAATACCTCTAGGTTTTGGTCAGTCATGTGCAGCAAATTGATGATGACAATGAAGTCACAACAGCTTTGGCACAGGCCGCCCCACTGGTCCCACGGCTGGGACACATCTATGGAGAGGGGCTCTCGGACGTTGGTCACCTTGGTGGCACGGATGTAAGCAGAGATGCTGCAAAGAAAGAACTGTAAATTGGGAATGTTTTTTTCCACAAGTCCCCACACCTTATAACAGCACTTGCTTCAGGATGGCAATACAATTTGCTAATGAAATTGATATGAAATGCCTTTCCTGATGTGTACATATGTTACATATTTAATAAATCAATCCATGTAGGGGGCTCTGTCCTGTTTTGGGAAGAGGAGAGACCCAGATGTATTAAATTTGATTCTACAAGGCGAATAGGCAGTTTTCCTTCCTTCTTTCCTTCCTTAGATCTAAAACTGGAATATTTTAGTTACTAGGAAATAATAAGAAAGTCTTAATAATTCAGGTATGACTGCAATACAGACTGTGACTCTGTGTGTCTGTCATAGGTCACTAGTAGTACTGTACGTGGAGTTAACTGGTCAGAAGCAGTTCAGCTCTACATTGGCACCCATGTCATTTTGAGCTCGCTTAGTTTTTGCCCTAATATTTACTGAGAAGGATAAGATTTTGGAGAGAAGGGGAAGATACCCATCAGATGACACTCACTAAAGAGGAATTCTCCCATGCTGCAACCCTGGCTCTCTTGCATTAAAAATAGGCAAATGACATTTTGTGGGAATACTGCACTAAAAATTAAATATAGCTGGAGCATTCCTTCATGGACCATCTGGAAAATTCCCTAAACATATTGGGACATATCCCTTCTCTCTTTAAAGATTGCAGTAGTCCATTATTTGGATTTTTTTTAATAAAATGCACTATAACTAATATCCTTGATTTCCCCTACCACAGTTCCAAGACTTTTCTTATCTCTCACATAAATTAGCACATGCTGCTCACACTAAACTTTAATCTACACACAAGGCACACAATTAAGATAAACATCCACAGCAATGCCAAGTATTACAACCAGCAGCTACCTGGCCAAACCCAGTTCCTGTTACAGATGATTCTATAATACAGCATGACAAGGCAAACGTTAAGTCATTCATTCAGCAGCCTTAACATCCAGAGGTCTCCAGGGGCCCCATTCTTCACTTAGCTATTTCTTGAAATTATATTTCCTATACAGCATGAGGATAATTTAATTTTTTAATTTGTTGTGTTGTTTTTTTTTTTTTAATTGGTTGTCTTCAATAAAGGTTTAATAAAATTACACAGGTCTTAACCATCCCTTTTGCCTTACTACTATTACTGGGATTGAAACCAGCCACCTCCTGTTTCTGGCTGCAGGAGACAAAGGCATGATCCATACAAGGTGGACCACCTGACCCCGACCCCCCTGCTGCCTTCACAAGCGCCATTATACCTCTGTTGGGAAGCTGGATTGATCTCCGAAGGTTGCCAGGTGACAGTCGGCAGAGCCTGGGCAAAGTGCACCACATGCTGTCCTGTCCCAGATCCCAGTTCCAGCCCAAAAGTAGAGCATGTATCATCCACATAGTCAGCCAACACTTCCAGGATGGATTCCTTGTTCCGCTCAGCCATGGGAGAAACCAACATCTTTGAAGATGCCCAAGGCAAACCAGCTGCTTCTCTTCCTCCCAGGATGGTGGCCTGCCCTATAATACCTCCAGCCCTATTCAGATGGACTAAGCTAGCTTTGTTAAAGCAAAAGGGGATTATACTGAGATGCCCTTGTCTAGTGACGCATAAAGCATGTGTTGTCCCTGCACCTGAGATGATTCCTGGAGAAGAAACTGGCAATGCTATTTTCACTGCAACACTGTGTGTATGTTGATCTCTGGTGATCTACGAAGTAGGATAACGTAATGGTGCCACAATCAACATATTTTCCTTCAAGGTGCTGAAAAGCTGTGCTTTGTTCAGTTATCGCCCTGCCACACTCCATTTTTGAACCCATAGTATTTTACTTCTAAACTGGAAAGCCTTTTGTACTGGCTTGTTAGCCCCTAACCCATTAAAGTGCCCATTGAATCAGTGGCACTTAATAACTGTTGATGTCCCATTATTCCGTGGGTCTGCTCTTGCTGAAACAAGCAACTAGATTTCACCCACTGCTTCTGCTTCTTCTTTTTTGCTATGGATATTAGATCATGTTAGATATTCAAAGACCCCTCCCCACACAAATTTTCTGCAGTATTCTTTATAAAAGGCATTGCTTAGTTCCTGTCTTGAAGCCTGATCCACCAAGACAATCATTTATGTGGAAGTTGAGTCATGGCAACTGGACTTCTTTCTTGTTAGGTTGAAATGTTTCGCTACTCATCCAAGCAGCTTCCTCAGTCTTCAGCTTCGAGATAACCACACCTGGATGACTGAGAATCTAACAGAAAAACTATTTATGATGTAAGAAGAATAAAGCCCTCTCTACTCTTTATGTTTTAGCAGCAGCTAGTACTGTGACACAAATCCTTGCCTCTGGGTCTCATAAAAGCAGCCTTTTGTCCCAATAAGGCAAATTAGATTACCCTCTGAGTGAAATTTTACGAAGCTAATTTTGGATCCACACTGGGGTTGTACCCCGACTTCTGTGCTCTGTAGCTAACCAGCCCTAAACCAACCAAACAACAGCCCTAGGAGTCACCAGTAAATGAACAAAATCAGGTTTGAAAGCTTTAATTTGCTTTCAAAGAGCACTGGTAGTTACTAGTGTAGTAAACATGCTTGAGGGGTAAACATAGTAACAATAATAATGTGCCATCAAGTCAATTCTGATTAAGGCCATCCCTTTTAAGGGTTTCCAGGTAGAGAGTACTCAGAAGTGGTTTACCATTCCCTTCTTTCTTCTGGGGGCGCCCTGGGACTGTGAAGCTTGCTCGAGTCCACACAGCCTGGCTGTAGTTGCAAGAGGCAAAACTGGGAACTGAACTCAAACCACTGAGCTATCTGGCCAGCTTGATTTACCGAGAGGGTCGCCCTTTTTGTTGCATTGGGGCTCGTTCCCAACTAAGGGGCTGCGCCTTTCGCTTAATTAACGGCCCCGAAATCGGTCTGGAAACATCCTGTGAAGAGATGCGTGTTCCTATGTGGCAGCACTGATTTTATAACCATTGTGTAGGGCACTGGTTCTTAACCTTGGGTTACTTAGGAGTTTTGGACTGCAACTCCCAGAAGCCTTCACCACCAGCTGTCCTGACTGGGGTTTCTGGGAGCTGCAGTTCAAAAACATCCGAGTAACAAAGGTTAAGAACCACTGGTGTAGGGCAGAATTTTAACTGCCTTGTCGCCGTCTGCTGCCCGTTAAGATATACACACTTGTGCACGTTGTGCTCCTAGCTTCTGAGTCGGTGGCCTACGAGCTCCACCGTGCCCACCCCGGGCTGAAAAGTCAATGACACTCGTTTTAAAAGGTCAGTCTTTGCAGAGCCTTAGCACGCCCCCTGCCTGGGAACAAGGAACGTCTCCTCCTCCGGCCAGAGAGACGAACAGTTAGGTTGCTAGAGAGTCGCACCATAACAGCCAGCCGCGATTGGGGCGCTCCGGTGAACCAGGGAGAGGCTATGCCTAGAGCGCCCTCTCCGCGCCCTCCGGTCCCTCGCATGCCGGAGGAAGCGGCTGCCCGCGTCTCCTTCCTGCCGCCACTTGAAGCGACCGCCATGGCCATGTTGTCGACGGGCCGGGTCGGTCCGGCTCTCCGCCTGCTTCTCCGGTATGAGTCGGGCAGGAGCTTTCCCTGGGTCGTAGGGAGGGCCTGGGTTCGTTGGGGTAAGAGGGAGGCCCCGAGGGAAAGGCGGAGGTCACTGGGGGCTCACGTGGAGCGCGGGCCCCGCTCGAGCTGGCCCTGTCCCGGGCACGGCGATGGCAGCCCTTGACACCGGCGAGCCGCCGTTGGACCTTGAGGAAAGGGGAGCCTCCTCCTCCTCCTCCCCCTCGGCCCACAGGGGTCTCGCTTTGGGGTGTGATCCTTGTCAAGTGAGCCGTGACGACCGCGGCTGGGGTCCCTTCGGGGTCGGTGGCTCTTGGCTTCTGCAGCCTCCGTGCCCTTGCCTGAACAGGGTTTGGGCCTTGCTGATATTTTTATAGTCAGTCTGTTTTAGCTGCTAATGTAAACCTTATGCAAGAGATCTGAAAGGGATTCCGCCGTCATTAAACCTGTATTGCTGGTGACGGTTGAAGTTGCCCCTAATAATAGATTGCGTATTGTTTTGTAAGGTCATAAATTGTTACAAATACTGGACCTGCCTGCCTTTTTAAATACTGTACTTTATTCTTTTTTACTGGCCCAGAATGCCCATGTCTTTAACAAGAACTAAATCTGTTGCTGTTAATACATAACGTCTGTGCTGTATTTTAACTGCTAGCTAATTCCTGCAGATCAAACAGTTGTAAAATGCAGTAGAATAAGCCAGAGTAGAGTTGTCTTTTTCTGAACAGTGGACAATGCTAAAACAACAACAACAACAACATTGAGTTACTAAAACTATTCCCTACATTTTTGAGTTTAGGGGATGCTTCCAAGGAACCTGAAGGTTTTAAGGCTGAGATAAGAACTGGAATCATGAAGTGATATGTTTCTCATTCAGATCTTATCTGTAACACTAGAATTGGGTAGAAGGTAGACTGGTGGACATCTGGCTTATTTCTGGTAGACTATCTAGCAGCCAGTGTAGTGTAGTGTATAGAGTGATGGACTAGGACTCAGAAGATCTGTGTTTGAATCCCCAGCTGTGCCTTTAAAAGTCACAGGGGGAGAGGCAGAACTGGTAGAACCATTCCATAAGTACCTCACTTACCTGGAAATCCTGTTACGGTCACTATAAGTCAATTATGGTTGGATGGCACATAACACCTAACAATAGCTGCTCTTCTTGTTGAACATGCTAGATTAGTTGGATCTTGGTCTCATTCAAAACATTTCTTCTATTCTTACATAATGCTATATAGTAAGGACCACTTAGCTCATATTATTTACAGCTTGATTGTTGAAATATTGTGTGCTTGATTTATGATTTTAATATGTAAGGATATCAGTGAGAAAGTAAACCATTGACCAGAATCCTCTTGGGGATTTACACTAGCATGAGGTGATTGTATAAATAATACCAATGAATTGCCACTAATTAAGTTGTTTCTTAAATTCCTCATTAGAAGAATGAAAATGGCAACTCATTAAATGAGATCAGATTTATGTAATTAAAAGTAAAAATTCCCAATAGGTTTCTGATCATTCTGTACCTCATGTTAGAGATATCTTTAGGAGTTTGAAGGTATCTTAAAATGTTAAAGCTGAATCTCTGGCCAGAACTGTAGCGCATATATAAGTGAATTTGCATGTCAGGGCAGCGAATTCCTGCTCATTAACAAGGTGCAGGTTGTATTTCTTATCACAGAACAGGCATGTAGCCAGTAATACATCTGGCAGTTTGTTCATGACAGGTTGCTGTGCTGGTTTTTGTGATTTCATGTATGCATGTGTAAGTTGTCAGTAGGATCCAGCCACTGCTTAAAGATGTAGTCTTGTTGCTTCTGGGAGCTAGATTTTCTTCTTCTTCAAGAATGAATGCTGGCACAAATCCATGTTCGTATCATTTTTTTTCTTGATCTACACCAGTGGTTCCAATCTTGGGTCCCTGGGTATCCTTGGAGTGCAGCTCCCAGAAAACCCAGCCAGCACAGCTAGTGGTGATGCTTTTGGGAGTTGCACTCAGAGTGTCTGGGGACCCAAGGTTGGGAGACACAGATCTAGACCAGTGGTTCTTAACCTTTGTTACTCAGGTGTTTTTGAACTGCAACTCCCAGAAACCTCAGCCAGCAGAGCTGACGGTGAAGGCTTCTGGGAGTTGCAGTCCAAAAACATCTGAGTAACAAAGGTTGGGAGCCACTGATCTAGACCATCTTAATATCTCTGTTGCAACTCTTCTTTTTCACTAGCAGTGGCAGGTGTTTGCTACTTACATGTATCGTATACAGTAGTAAGCACGAAGTGTGACTGTGTCTTTGCTGGTTTTCTACAGGCACCATCAACCACGAGCCTGTGCTGTCAGGATGCTGAAGGCTACCTGTTCGCAGCAAAGTGAAGCCCTGGCATCTCCCCCTCTAGACAACGTCCCCAAAGAATACCCACCCAAGATTCAGCAGCTAGTGCAGGACATTGCTAGCTTGACCCTACTGGAGATCTCTGACCTCAATGAACTTTTGAAGGTATCAGTGTTTGGATGAGAACTAGGGTGGATTCTGTAACAGGAGGCCGGGGACAGTTCACAATGTTGGTTGTTTCGTCTCTCTTTCTGTGGAGATGGGATGACACGCTTTGATGTTGACCTTCCTCGTTTCTGTAATGCATGTGATGAAGGATGACTGGGGGTTTAATAATGCTTCTTCTCTCTTCAGAAAACCCTCAGAATCCAAGATATGGGATTCATGCCAACAGCTGGGATGAGGGAACCTGCACAGGCAGCACCTGTGGTAAGAAACTAGCCTTGGCTGTCCACCTGGCCAGGTAGCTTTTGCTTCTGAGGAAGCACCTGAATTGCAAGCCATACCTGCCTGCAGTTACGCCGCCTTTTGGGAGAGTTGTGTGTGAAGGCTCCAGAACACTGTACTGTGCTAACACAGGGCAATCTGTGCAACAGAATTCTTGTTGCCCTGCCTTGTGCATCAGTAGCTGCTAGTGGCTTTTCTACAAGAGGGAACAGGGAGCAGCACGGCAGCAACAGGAACAGATGATCACTAATAAATAATAACTTGCAAGGTCATAATGAACATCCAGATAGCTAGGAACAACCCCTCCCCGGCCTTGCTTGGACAATGCAGGATGAAAAAAAATCACTCTGTTCTTTCTGGGTAGATGTCAACTGAGATTGGTGTGCTATCCTCTCCATACATCTATATTTCCAGTGAACCATGCTTGTCTTCTTTATTCTTCCTACTTGAGAATAATTCCGAATTATTTATTTATTTATTTATTTAATTTATATGCCGCCTACACTACCCAAAGATCTCTGGGCGGCTTACAACATTTAAAATACAATTCAAAACAATTAAAATACAATTCAAAATATATATAAATTGCCATCGGACCCACAGCTAATATTATTTCAATTAAAAGCCTTCTGGAACAGGAAGGTTTTGACCAGACGAATCTCCCTCGGGAGGGCATTCCATAGTCCGGGGGCAGCTGCCAAAAAGGCCCTTTGTCTACAAGCCATCCCTCTTACCTCCTTGAGGGACGGCTCTTTCAAAA